GATCCCAGAGTGACCGTTGTCTGCACCACTCAAGGCGATTACGTCGGTGTTTTCGAGTTAAAGGGAGGACCCAGTGTGGCCGGTATGAAAAGAAACCAAAACTTCTCATTCGTCGGTAACCACAGTGTCTACACTTCTTTGCACTCTAACTGCAATTGCCCGAAAAGAAAGTCCAGCTTCCCGAAGTCCCACTATACGGCCCCTATCAAACTCACTAAGTTGACGAAATCGTACAGGTCTCCGTACTCTAGGTATCGTAACCGATCGTAAAGGATGTCAAGAACCAAAATCCGCCAACGTTGATTCTTTACTGCGGCCGAAATATTCATTTTTAGAGCGTTAGTGAATTAAAAAAAAGCAGTATAAAAACCGGAATGTCCAACTGTTAAGGCTGAAAATTTGTTCACTTGTTATTTACAGTAAGATAAATACATTCACCAACTTTTATTAAAATAAAACCATTTAAACTGGGTGTTCGGATTTATATGTCACTTAGTAGATATATATAAAGGGTGTTTCAAATTCGACCCCACCATTGGGATCTCGGAAACGGTAAGAGTTACTCAGTCGCTTAAATGGGGGCAAAGTTACGTATTTAGGTAATGAACAAAATGCCGCTGAGAAAGTTTCGAAATTCAAAGTACTTCCGGTGCGAGACGGAAAAAACTGATTTTCCCAAAATCGTTTTAATTTTTTTTCTAACTTCTACTTCATTCTTCCTTATGGACGCCATATTTGTTTTTTTTATTCTGATTACAAGAATGTATATTACGTCATACGCTGACATTGACAAACCTCAGTTATTTCAAAGAAGCAGAATTTTCTAGGTAGGCTTTGAAATTATCAAATTGCATGTTGTCATTATTACTTATTCCCCTATACAAGATGCCGTAGTCAAATTTTCAATTCGACATTTGTTCTTTCGACTTCCATCACCAACTTTGTTTTCCATATGGGCGCTATGTTGGAATTTTATATATTTAAATGCACTTCTCAGTACTAAATTCAGTGATGTGTTCCTTTAGTTGGTCATGAATTTTTTGTTGGATAAAAATTATAAGGAAATGAAGTATGGTGAAACCTGAACACTAAATGAATATTTCATCGATAGTACTAACAATAATAATCATAAATAAGCAAAGGGTAAATCATAGCAAATGTTCAAGTTGTTCGTTATTTTGTAGGTAAAGCCTAACTCTTCTTTGTACATTATTCGCTGCTCGATTTATTTCTGTTCTTCTCAGCCTTCCAAATCCTGTTGCTATGTTCAATTTGAGGTCTGGTCTGGTATACAAAACAAATGAAATCTGATAATATCAAGGCCCATCTACGAGCTTTTCTGTCTTATTATTTTTGAAATCAGATTTACAAACTCTAGTCGTCTGCGTATGGCGTCCATAAGGAAAAATAAAGTTAGAGCTGGTGGACAAGACATGGAACGTCATATTGAAATTCTAATTAGGCCAACTTGTAGAGGAGAAGAAGTGGCGATGTTAACATGCATTTTATTTAGGAATCCGATCCCAAATAAAGTCAGGAAACAGTAAAAAAGATTTCGGGATAAATCTGGTAGACAAAACAAATGACTATCTAATTATTTCAATTCCTACCTAGGAAATTATGCTTTCTTTTAAATAACTAAGACTTGGCAACGTCAATGTATGACGTATTATACGTTTTGGAATCAGAATTAAAAACTCTATTCATTTATGCAAAAATCGAATATGGCGTCTATAAGGAAAAATGAAGTTGATTTTGGAGGACAATCTTATATAGAAGGAAAAGTGACAATGTTAAGGTGCAATTTATTTTGAAATCCCACTACAAATAAATTCTCTCTCCGGAAGAACTTGAATTTCGAAACTTGCTAAGCGGAATATTGTTGATTATCTAAATATGCAACTTTGTCCCCATTTAGGCTACGTCGTACCTCTTACAGTTTCTGTGTTTTAATTATTTATTTTATTTCGATTTAAAAAGATATTTGGATATTATTTGAAATTGGAAAAAAATTGCATTTTGCTGAATGATGTATATTATAACTGTGTCATGACAAATCTTAGATATCAAAAAATTTAGAGAACTTGATATTGATTCTTGATGTTTTCAAATCTTATTAAAAACTTTTTATTTATATATTTTTTATTTTCATTCATTGTGAACTTATGATATATGGGATTAAGTATTACCAACTATTTGTCCAGAAACCTGTTATACAGGGTGCGGCAGAGAGGATTGTCGTTTTTGGGATGGGTAGTCTCTCCGCCTCCGTGAGAGGTGGGGAGGGTGCCGTTTGACTCGTGAGATCCTAGCATTATTTTACCAGTTTTCGTTATGGAGCCTTGGGCGGTGGAGCACACCGTTGTCGCCTATGATTGTTTCCTCCGAAATAATGAGTCAGTCATCGTCGTACAGCGTGAGTTTCGTCGCCACTTCAACATTCATCGGAATAGAGCTGATCCCTCTCGAAACACCATCCTTCAGAGGAGCGCCGCGAACAGTTAGAACTCCTGAAAATGTTGAACGCGTTCGACAGGTTTTTCTTCGCAGTCCGACTCGATCTGCCCGGAAACATGCTGCTGCACTTCGCCTTAGTGATCGTTCGGTAAGGCGAATTTTGCATATGGATCTCCGCTTTCACCCCTACAAATTGGCCATTGTGCAACAGTTACAGCCCGGAGATTATGCACAACGAATGAGCTTCGCACGTGAGATGGAAGCACTGATCGATCAAAATGAGAACCTCATTTTGTTTATGAGTGACGAACCCCACTTTCTCCTAAACAGCATGGTTAAACAGCAGAATTGTCGTTATTGGGCTAATGAAAATCCGCAACAGTTACACGAAAGACCGCTGCACAGCCCAAAAGTAACGGTTTGGTGCGCTGTATCGCAAACTTGCATCATTGGCCCTTACTTCTTCGAAGACGGTAATTGTCGTGATGTTACCGTGTACTCAGAGCGCTACGTCGACATGATCACCAACTTCTTTCTCCCTGAATTACGACGGCGACGTGTTCCAATCCGACGTGTGTTGTTCCAGCAGGATGGGGCGACCGCCCACACAGCCCGAGCATCCATGGACGTTATTCGTCCTCTCTTCCCTGGTCGCCTTATTTCCAGGTTTGGCGATGTTCATTGGCCTCCTCGGTCCCCAGATTTATCCGATTTTTTCTTATGGGGACACCTCAAGGTAAGAGTATACGCGAACAAGCCCCGAACTCTGGACGAATTGAAGGGCGAAATTCTCGTGGAAGTCGCCCAAGTTGAGAGAGCGATGTTGGAGAGAGTCTACGCGAACTTCCAAGAACGCCTCCAGCACTGCATCAACGATTTCGGCCACCACATGCCTGATGTGATTTTCCACACTTGACTGTCTCAAATGCTATTTCCTTGTGAACCTGATTCCATCAATAAATTTGTTTTCGAGTAAAAATTAACTATTTTATGATTTTTTTAAAACCGGCCATCCTCTCTGTATAGTATCATCATCACCAAACATCACTATCGCTAGAAGCAATTCTTTGTTTTAAATTCAGAAAGTAGGGAGATAGATACCTGAATCTTGATCATGTGTACAAAAATTGTACTTTTATTTCTAATAATAAAACAATTTTGCACTCACCCGCATTCAACGCTTTTACATATCTAAATGAATAAATTTGACAACACTTTAAGCAAATTAAGGTATTTTCAAATATTACAAAGTTTACATCAGGAGGCTCCAGTTCCTATACATACATTATAAAAGGAAATCACATAAACCCAACGTTTAGTACATGTTTGATATAAATTCGCATCGATGACCTAAGTATGACTGCATAAATGAAATTTTTAGGTTCTCCCCATTCCGTGCTTCATTTAGAGCAAGGAATATTCTAGCCAGGGTTATGGGTCACTAAGAGCTTTATGCTCGAGTATTGAACCATAATGATCCACTTAATTACCATGATTGATCCGCTTCACAGCTAATACACCATCAACAGCAACATTCGAACATGAAGTTCTTTGCGAAAATCACAAATGAAACTGATGATTTCAAAGCGCGTCACCGGCACTGCGTCTGTCGCTTACTCCCGATCATTCACGAATGAAGAACCGAGTCCTGCCGAGTCTGCGATTCAAATAAACAGTTGGTCTGTTTTTATTAAAATGTTTAATTGTTTTAAGCGTACCTTCTCTAAATAAACTAAATTACCTAAACTAATTAAACAGTTTAATAAAACAGGTACATGGTTTGCTATTTTCAAGAAAATTAGTTCAATAGTACTCAAATATTAGTTTCAATTAAACTGCTTCCAGAAAATTCAGTCTGATTCAGTCGAATAAGACTAATTAAAAAATTTATTATGGGTAATGAAAATTTTCCAAAACAACTGTTTAATCGACCACGTTTTCTTAGTTGGTCATCTAATGTAAGACTACTGGAAAAGCAACAATGAAAATATCCGGTTTGAATTGTCACCTTGTCCGATTTGTATTTCTGCTCATGTAAATGATTCGTTATAATAGCCATTAAAAGAACTTTCGCACTGATGCACGTAGATTAGCATTACTCATGTAATGAGCAATTAATTGAATGCATCGAGGTATACGAGGTGACTTGTAAAAGTTAGAAAATATAAACTAATTTACCTATGTGTAATGTGCCCACATACCTTATTAATCAGACTTAATGAAGATAAAGAAGTGCTTTATAAATTGGCAGTTCTCGTAGTCTACACGTGAGACATTTGGGCTTGATAGAAACGGCGAAGTGCCGGTTCTGGAGAGTGCAAGAGGAAACCTCAGCACACCTCTTGTATTGCCAATGTTAAGGTGTGTTCAATTTTTGGAATCACCTGATCAAAAGCAAGATATGAAAGGAAACAATAGGTTCTTATGTTAAGAAACGCAGTGGCGGTTAGTCTTGTATGATAACCCCTTACTGAAATCTGATCAAAATTCTAATATTTATTTTATAGAATTGTAACATTGATTAATCCTAAATTTTGTTTTAGTACTAAAATTTTGCCACTGGGTATGGCTGACCTGCATCTCATTTATACACACTGACGTCGAATTTGTTAAATACGTAACAGTGAGGTCACTGCTGGATACACACCGAAACCAAGGTATCATTACCGTGCTACTATGCGTCAAGGGACAAGCTCAACCTGAAGCTGTGCGAAAACACTTGCAGGTAAGCAGTCATTTACGCTCACTCTAGGAAGTTCAATAATGGGGTCAGAAAGAAACCACAGTACTGTTAAATATAATTGAGCGACATTGTCGCGTGATAGAGATCGCGTTCGAAACTTTAACGGGGCTCCAACAATTACGAGCACCATCTGCTGAGGCAACGGGGGGGGGGGCGGTGTGAAAAGGAAACGAGGGTGGGCTGGCCTTAGACGGTCGTCGGCGCTACTTTAAAAGAGGAAAGGATGACTGCGGGTGCGTACCACCGACTAACCACTGTATATCGTCGTTGGTGCGTACCGAGGTAAATTTTATAAGAGAGTCGGATTTCGATTAGCGATCTAGCCTGTAAGTCGTTTCCTATTTTGGTTATCAGCAAGTGATCATTTAGTATTGTTCTACCCTTGTTACTGTTCGTCGATATTGTGTTGTTGAATTGTTGTGTTGTACTCTCTTTGGTGTGGTTGTTCTTGAGTGAATTTTCTTATCAAGGTTGATAATGGACAATAAAAGGTCATATGCGACAATTTTAATTACGAATTCAATGAGTTTAATTCATGATGAGGACAACAATAGTGTGGATCAGTTCAACTCTATAATCGCAAAATACATTCGGGTAAACGAATAAATTACTGCAAGAAGAGGTCGTACCATGGAAGATGTGCTGCAGCTGTAGTGAGTCACAATACTGAGCGGCCTGTCTATGTGGTACAAATACATTTGCGTTCTAAGCTTAGTCCAACCTCGCTTATCACTAAGATGGAACAAAGACTCAAACGCAAGAATCTTGGGAAGAAACTCAGACCAAAAAAAGCTGATATAAAAATAACTAACAATTCGGATAGCAGTTCCAAAGAAAATATATAATAGTTTTATGGCGAATTCTGTCAAAAATCTGACATGAACGACATTGCTATGGATGTTGCTCAGCAAGAATTTTTAGGGAAACTTAGAAAAAGTGACGACGAGATTTTGCATATCGAACAAGTCACCAAATCACAGGACTGTGCTTTGTGGCGTCTTCATCGGAGGTTAAGGTTGACAGTGTCTCGATTTGGTGAAGTTTGTAGAAGAAGGCAGACAACAAGCTGTAAAGTTCCAGTAAACTCCATTATATACCCAACAAAGTTTTCTAGTAAGACAATAAAAAAAGGCAATACAAAAATCACTGGACACGGCAGTTCAATCTTGTGGTTTGTTTATTGATCGCGCACATCCATTTCTGGCAGCATCACCTCCATCTACCTATTACAGTAGACAAGACATGTACTTAATCCAGGTATAAGCCTACCTGTTCATTGCTTTGCAAAAACTACCTAACTGTTTCCTCTTATTTTGATGGCATACGATATTTTTATGACCCTCGTTCAACTGTTACCATCTACCACTCGACCCTTATCAGTGAGAATGCCTCACTGCCAAAATTCAACAAAATCGTTACACAAAGGTCTTAGAGGTCTAATAAAAACGCATTTTTTATATAACTTTGGCAGTATGTAGCTTGGAAACAAGACTTTTTAGGATGTGTAAACATAATTGTGTTTATTGACATGAATAAACGAATTTGAATTTGAGTTCTAGAATTTATTTTAGGAAAGATATAAAATTATTTGAATACATTTCTTCTTAGTCAGAGCGCACCGTCGCGTCGCTTGGACTGGCAGGACGAAACAGTAGAAGAATTTCGCCCAAAAACCGATTTGCACTTCACAGCGTGCTAAAAACAAAGTCCACAGGGTGCCAGCAATCCACCTTTTCGATTTTATCCACTAGGATCTTTTTAAAATATCAAGAAGTTGAGCACAAATAGTAAGCATTTCAACCCACCATAATTCTTGCGCAAAGACAACATTTTTTAAAAAGCTCTCTTAGCACAATAGACAATTATGGCCTGCTTATATCCAGAAAAAACATCACAAACTGCAGAACACAAAAGGTAACGGCAAAATGGGTACATTTCACGGGTTATGAAATTCAAATGAAAATGCAGGCATAAAATCTACCAAATGATCGTTCTCAAAAACATATTTCCTTGACATATCGTCAATTTTCCACCCTAAATTTCCCTATACTTGACTGGAGTGATATCCGAATTTATTCTTCCCTACTGTCGGTAGTTGCAGATCTATTGGCTCCTTGGTGTCAAACCTATAGAGCAGGTACCGATTTTTTCAAATCGTGAGCACATTATTCGTCTTATTTCCTGTAATCACTGGGATCAGAAGCTTCTTAGTAATAGAACGTGGTTCACTGATTTCAACCCCCCCTCTTTAAGCAGTACAATTTTTTTATATAAATGATTAGGAACCCCTGAGACGTTAAAAACGGAGTTTCAGCAATTGTTACTTTTTCTTTTTTGCCCATAGCACCGTTGCCACTGTACTAAAACTACAAAGCTTTGGCATACTAGTAACCACGTGTGGAAATTTCATAAAAATCCGAGCGGTAATTTCCAAGTTGATGAGTGATACAGTTTTTCGTGATGTAGATGTCATATGACTTAAAAAAACATAACAGCTTATTTTAGAAATCTTTCGCGATTACAATACTTCCTCGCCAATGACGTGGGAAGTAAAACGGCTTTAAAATCGAGGAGTATCAGCGATCGCGATTATGAGTACCTATTTGCAGAACGACTTATCTACACGATATTATATGAAATATGGCCACCAAATTATCTGAATACGTCCTTTCTTAGTAAGTACATTGCGCCGCAACGCTTGGGTTGACAGCACGAAACAGTAGACAAAATTCGTCCAAAATACGGTTTGTAGAGGTTTGCGCACTTCGAAATTGACGCTTTATTTTCTGATATTTTTGGATGAAATTTTCACCGAGTGCTGAAAACAAAACCCCACAGGGTGCTATAGAGCCACGTTTTCATTTTTTTCACTAGGTTCTTTTTAAAAAAATCGCGAAGTTGAACAGAAAAAATGCGCACTTCAACCCATCATAAAACTTGTGCAAAAACAAAATTTCAAAAAGTGTTCCTATAGCACCCTGGGCAATTATCTTCTCAACATACTGTATGAATTTCATTCAAAAATATTGAAAAATGGAGTGTCAGTTTTGAAGCAGCTGAATCCTTGTAAATGGCTTGAAACTCACTGCGTCGGAGCCGCCTTAACCCAAAACACTTTAGGTCACAATCATTACGCGAAAGGTGAAGTCAGAAGGGGCTTTCGTGGTAGCGAGGCGATAATTTCGACATCCATTATACATTGTGTACAATGATATGCGGTATTTACAAGAGCGCATGTCTGAACGAAATTCAAGCAGAAAAGTTCATATAAGTATGAGACATCTTGTTTCCAACATACAGGGTCAAAGGTTTTCATATAAATTTTGGTTTTTTTATTAACACTTGAAAGATCTCGGTGCTGATTTTCCTGGATTTTGACTGTATTGCTTATTGCACTCAGCCATTAAGTCAGATAACTAAAAGATAATTATGAATTCCAGTGGCATCTCGGGGAAAACTCGGAATGATATTGACAAAAAACTTACGTCACTGTCTTTTTAAGAAAATATATGTATCTTCTTTCGGATCAAGCAGCTTATGATACAAATTTTTGTATCTTGGTATCCCTTCCTACAATATCTTACTTCGTTTTCGAAGAAAAGGTAAAGACAATATGATGAAAAATATGAGAGCTTGCCAAATTACGAGGTGTACTCCTATCTGAGGAAGAACAGGGTAGTTGTGGCAATGTGCCCGCAGCAGTCTGTCCTGTTACAGAACCGTTTCTTTGGAATCAGGATGGAAGGAAACTCTGTGGTACCGCCTCAACTCCAAAACATCCCCAAATTTATTTGCTGCCTTTATTGCTCTCCCTCGGACCATAACTGGGATGACCTACTTGAATATTTCGCTGACAATCCCTACTTCCTGAACACCCTGCTTCAGCAGTACTTCTCCTCTGCGTCTCGTACACGCTAGTAGTCTGCTGGATCTTTTTCTGACCACGCATCCTGTTCCTTACAGCACTGCTGTCCTGTCTCCTCTGGGTAACTCAAACCACGGTCTTTGTTGAGGTTAGTTAGAGAAACTCGCACAGATAGCGAGATTTGGCATTACGAACATGCTTGATGGAAGGGCTCAGGGACTTGTTCTCCAGCTTTCATCGGAGAAATGTTTGTTTTGCTAATGCGGATTCGTCGACAGACTCCCCTACGTCAGAGTCCGTCGATTCAAAGGATTTGCTACACTATACGGGAAGTAACATTCAGGCATAAGGTCTCTCGATATCAACAAAGCTTCTGTTCCTGACTTGATTCCTGCCGTTGTACTAACGAGATGTGCGGCGAAGCTTGCTTCAGTTCTTTCGCGACTCTTCTAGATATCTTACGAATCCTGCACATTACCAGAAAATTGGAAATTTGCTCATGTCCAACTCCTCAAAAAAAAAAAAAAAAGAATCTAAAACCGACATAACAACTATAATAGGCCTATAGCTCTGCCTTCTGTTATAAGTGAGGTTTGGAGAGGTGCATGAATCCGGAGCTTCTGGAGTTTTGCAGCACCAGGGAGGAAACTCCTAGCATATGTCACGCAACTGTGGAGTAAACTCATCCAGTCTTATGGTGAGGCTCATGTCGATGGTCTTGATATCACGAAATCATTCGATCGGCTATGGCATGCTGGCAAACGTATCCCATGACCTCCCTTGCTTCATCTATGACCGCAAGATATCGGTCATAATTGATCGGCTCTCCACTTCATCCCGCAGCGTCAACAAGGTGTTCGCCAGGGGTCGGGATTGGCTCCGACATTATTCTTCTTACATATCAACAACCTCCTTTCCTGTACTATTAATCCGATCCAAACCTTTGGTTATGATATCACTCTACATGCAGGAACTGAGAGTGACAAGGCAATCTCCGCCGATGAGCTGGAGAAAAGAAGACATGCAGCGACTTCCTCTCTGACGACAGACCGGGAGGTTATCACTGATTGGGGACGCCACAAAATCTTGTATGCTTCCAAAACACAGTACTTGACTAACAAGAAGCGTCCTAGCGATCATCCGGTTTCGATGAATGTCCGAGTTATATCAAAAGCCGTTAATTTCGGCTGGTCGGAGTCCAGATGACCGAAGCCTTTATCTGGCACAAACACAGGTCGTCAATACCGGCAGCTGGTGGGAAAAACCAGGCTATTTGTTCAGGGCTAAGAAGTACTTTTCTCCACATGACCTCATCACTCATCTGTACAAGGCCCATATAAGACCTAGCCTCGAGTTCTGCTGTCTGCTGCCTCCCTGACTACATTATCCATGCCGGATGCTGTTCAGAGAAGGGCTGTTCGACCATGGGGGTGGTTGTATACAACGTATTTTGTATATATTTTGTCAAATTGTTTCTTTTCATTCTTACATTTGAAAAGTGACTTATAAATAAACATTGTGTAAATTATCAAATTAAATTGATATTATTTTAATAATTTTCGACTTGTAATGAAGTTGTTTTTGTGTATGTATTAAAGGGCAGTGACATACATTTTTTGTCAATATTATCAGTGAGAATGCCTCACTGCCAAAATTCAACAAAATCGACACAAAGGTCTTAGAGGTCTAATAAAAACGCATTTTTTATATAACTTTGGCAGTATTTATCTTGGAAACAAGACTTTTTAGGTTGTGTAACATGTGTGTTTATGTGATGTTTTCTACTTCAGTTTGCTTCAGGAATCCGCCCTTGTAATTACGGCATATCATTAAGTAATGTCCTGTATATTTATCCAATACTAAAATTTCAATCAACGTCAAACAATACTCGTATAAAATTATTTTTTATACTAGGAAGTGGTGAGACGCAGAGACAAATTCGGCAACTTGGCGTTCCCAAGACTGCGCCACTGCTTAGTGACGAGATGCGGAACCTATGCTTGGCAAAGAGGCAAGTTCGATCTAGACCAAAACTTGACCGTAGCTCCCTTTACCTTCAAGGGTAGGGCAGTTACTGAATTCAACATACAGGTAGGTAAACAAGGGTAGGTAGATGTATTTAGAAGGCAGATATCTATTCTTACTCCAGCTCATCCCAACAATATGAAATATCTTCCTGCAAATCTCAGGTAGCTAGCTTTTGACAATGCGTAATTCTTTTACCTAACGCGCCAGTGGTGTAGCAGAAGGGAGAAAAGGTGTCAGGGAAAAATACTTTTTTAATAATTTTGGTCTTATTTTATTGACACTTGTGGCGGTGGACTGTGCCTTCTAAATAAAATAACTGAGTCATTAATTATATGCATTTATACAGGATGTCCCAGAAGTCGACTTCAAGCCGGACACGGGTGATAGGCCGAGCCATAATAGTTACCAGAAAAATATAAAAAAATCTAATCTAGTCGCGTACTTTCCAAATTATAGGCTTCAAAAGAAATCGGAAAAATCTACTCCCTGTGATGATCTTTTAGTTCCCATTACTACAAATTTCATTTTTTCCTTAGAAATAGTAACGTCACTTTTTTTAATTCATGATTGTGTAGTGCCGCCATGTCTGTGTACAATGTACAGGAATACGCCAACATGCACCACTTATATGGGGAATGTACATGTAGTGCTAGTGCTGCAGCTGGGCTTTATCGTGAGAAGTGCCCAAATGCTGCTCGCCATCCCAATCACCGAGTTTTTGGGAATGTGCACGGTTTACCCTCCCAGGGACGATTTCCAAATCAAGCACATGATGAACGAAGAATTTCCTTTCCTTATGAGGACGTCGTACTACAAGCACTGAGTTTTGTCAAACATTGTTACAGAGAACATCCATATTTGATGAGACAAGATAGATCACAGTATTGTTTTAAACTAATCATGTGGACCGGAATTCTAAATCCTTGTATCTTTTGAGCTGCCAGATTTCTTGAATGGCGTAATTTATTTAGACTTTTAACAAAATCATTTACCAAATTTATTGGAAGACGTGCCTCTAAGAATTTACAGAGACATGTGGTACTAGATAATATCTTGATGCGGGATGGCCAGCCCGTTCGCCTGACTTAAATCCACTCGATTTCTTTACTGGGGAACGACGGAACAAAAAGTTTACGCAGAGCCAATCGAAAATTTAGCGGAGCTACAGGACGGAAGCAGCTGAATTTGTTAATAACGGAAGATTCACCTGTCTGACAACCCGATCATTTTAAAAAGGTATCAAGCTTATATTGCTGCTGAAGAAAGGCGTTTGAACATTTATTGTGAATTTAAAAAAAAGTGGCGTTACTATCTATCTTGCTGTCACTACGTAGAATGACATTGTCCGTCACTCCGTCTAAGAAAAAAAAATGAAATTTGAAGTAATGGGAACTAAAAGGTCATCTCGTTTATTTATTATGATCATACCAGGTGTTTTTTGCGTACATAACTTTAAAACGGAATAAAAATCAAGAAATACTGTGGTGTAACGGTGTAACGCTTTGATGCTGAAAAACAATAGCCGAGGAATAGCTTTAATAGTTGGAGACATTTAATAATAATAACGATAATTATAATAAACCGTCTTTTATTAGAAAAAACAAATTACAGATAATGCATATATTATTATCTATAATAAGATTAGTGAGCAGCTTAATGGCGAAGTTTAGCTATGACAGCTATTCTTACACTTAACCATTTACTGCATAAGAATAATAGATGGTAAAAAAGTACAGCTGTAAAGAAAATAAAAGGAGGAAAGTGCCCATGTAACTGATCACAACCTAAATAAAAATTAGCTTAAAAATATAATGCTGGAGAAAAACACCTTCAAGAAGCACCATTGAGCAGAAGAGCTTTTAAGTGTCTTTTAAAACTATACAGCGGCAGGCTTTTTGTTCTGTAATCTAAGCTTTTGTACAACATGCATGCATTATATGAGAAGGATCTGTTAAAAACAGATGAACTATGAAGTGGCATTGCTAAAGCGAATGTGTTACGGATATGTCGTTGATGAACATTATACCTAAAAATTAGTTTTTCACGTAAATAAATTGGAGTTCCAGAGACAAGTAACTTATGTATAAAGGTTAGATAGTTGTATTTAACTAAATCTGTCATCTTTAACCAACCTATTAAAGGATAACGATCCGAAACATGATCAAATTTTCTTAAAGTAAATATGAATCGTACGCAGTTATTTTGTACTACAACAACGACTTGCAACATCCAAACAAGGATGATAAACTAGATTGCAATAATTAAAAATTGATAACACAAAAGATTCACACAACTTTTTTCGTACTTTAAAATTCAGCAAATTTTTGTTCGCATACTGAGTTCTCAGACGGATGTAACTTCTTTGTAAGAGGTTATATAAATGTTCACAAAGCCGCACGTTTTCATCAATAAACACTCCTAGACACTTGACACTTTCAGAAAAAGGAAGATTTTGATTGTTAATAGATATATTCAAGGAAGCTTTGACTTCGGCTCTTCTGTGATTTGGACAAAACATCACAGCAGAAGATTTAGAAGCATAAACGGTTAGGCTGTTATTGGCTGAGTAGGTGCAAATAGAGTCAATGTCCTCGTTAATTTCTATAATAGCAGTCTGGAGGTTCTCAGGATAAAAGAAGTAAAGCAGTTGAGTGTCATCCGCATAAGACTGTAGCTGTGAATTTTGAATGGACTTAGCAATATCGGCTATATAAATTAAAAATAACAAGGGTCCTAAAATTGAGCACTGAGGCACACCCGAAGTGATAAGGTGCTCATTTGACAAAACTCCAGAAAGTTAGACGCGCTGAGAACGGTTTGTTAGGTATGATTTAAAAAACTGCAGTGCTATTTTATCAAAGCCATAAAATTTTAGCTTAGCACACATCAGTGCGTGATCAATTCTATCAAAGGCCTTGGAGAAATCCAGTGAAACTAAGGCGACACATAGTTTTTTATCAAGGGCCCTGATGATGTTGTCCACTAAATTAAGAAGAGCAGTTGTAGTACTGTATGATTTTCTAAACCCAGACTGATGTACTGAGAGTATGCCACTTGACTCTAAAAAATCTAAGATTTGCAAATAAATGATTTTCTCCAAGATCTTTGACAAAACACTCAAAAGACTGATGGGCCTAAGATCCGAGAAATCGGTGGGCTTTCTGACCTTAGGTATTGGCCTTACTATTGCTCGTCTCCAAGATTTAGGAAAGTAGCCCTTCTCAAGACACAGATTGATAATATGGGTCAATTAAGGTAGTATAATAGGGAGAGATAGCTTAATCATAAAAAGAGATATACCGTCAATACCCTTTGCATTTGACTTAAGGCCACTCACAACAGTTTTGATAGTAGTAGCTCAACCAGAGTGAAAGAACTCCTATTGCCAAACGTATTATTGTGATAAAAATTGAATGTTGCTTCGTCGGGCTGAGCACAATGAAACACTGATGCAAAATAATCGTTTATAGCGCTTGGATCATTGAGGTGAGACGGAATACTTTCAGTACTTGTCTTTGAATTAAAGCCACCGATATTTATGTTATCTAAAGCTCTCCAAAGTTTTTTCGACATACGATGCTCTTGCAAGAAAGATAGGTAACCCGCTTTTTTACGCCTAATTGACGCAAGAGCAAAATTTCTTTGTAGCTCAACTAACTCGATACTGTTTTATCGGATTTATATTTTCTAAGTGCAACATCACGTTCTTTCAGAATAATTTTTAACGGAAAGGTCAACCAAGGGGCCTGACGTTTATTGACGCTCACCGTTGTGAGCGGCGCGTGGATATCAAAAACGTTAAGAATCTTCCTTGTAAGGAAATCAACTTTTTCATCGATGTCATTCAATAATATCAGGTCGTGCCAAACAATTGAGCTTAAATCACTACAAAATCCGTTTACATCAAAGTTTTTAAAATCTCGAAAAGAGATGAAAGTTTGCTTTGATCAAGAAACTGTTCAGTTTTACAGATAAGTGCAAGATGCTGTGGAACTGACAAATCTATCTGGACTACTTTACATCATTGATTGGACGCGTTGTATTCTGTCCCATGTCTCTATAAAATTACCATACATTTCAAGTGTAACGGGTCACAATTTTTAACTAGCACTCTTTTCAGGAATACGTTAGTGATATTGTCTCAAAGTATCTTCCTGCTTCCATCCCACCATGGCAGGTTATAATAATACCATCATCCGAAGACAATCACTATATATTATTGAAACTACACCATATGCTTTTGTCCGAAGGTTTGAATATAGGAGACCTTCTACCACTGATACCGCCAACACGGCCGAACTCGGGGTATGTATGCAGTATATACAGGGTGGCCGATGTATAACTGACTGATTTGTTCTTCCAACGTATTTTTTGAACGTTAGAAGTTATGTATAAAAAATGATGTCACATCATTGCCCGCTTCTGGAAACCGCACAAACCTGAGCCTTCTTGTCTCCGAATACTTCTTCACAAAACATTTTTCGTTTCTTTTGCTGTACGGGTCAATACTTACAAATCAAGGTATTTAATTTTAGTAGTAATAGAGTTTTGCATCATACACAGAGTGAAGTTTGGTATTGCATTTATCAGAAACCCGATCGTATTTTTATAGACGAAGGGAGTACAGTATTCACCCTCTAAATAAACTGCCGTGTTACGCTAAGCTAAGCGTTCGTTAAAAAAACGTCCGAAGTTTTGAACTCAAAATTTCGTTTACATAATGGCCAGAAACAATTATTTCATATTCCCAGACTTCGTAATTATTCTCTTTAGATAAAGATAGTTGAATTTCGTGAGCTTATGAGGCCCCTGGCTTCAAAACTAACATCTCCAAACAAAGTTATTGTCAGATAATTGGCAATAACGACTTTTGTAGAACTGGGTGACTTTATTACAAATCTAGCATAATTATTTATCAATATGACTTTCAATATCATTAGAATAAAAAAATTCTGTATTCTCCGATAAATTGAGAAAACTATATTGGAGATTGCTAGTTTTGCAACTTTTTCGTGGTTATTGTTAGTTTTGAAAATCACTCCTGTGGCTTTTGTACGGCTTTTTTCCGCTATCTTAACCTTTTCTAGGCTTATATTTTTATAAATTATTAATGCATTATTTGCTTAAAGTTAATTTGTATTTTTATAACATTTTTCAGAAAAAAAGGATTTAATGGAAAATAACAAACTTAAAAAAGTATTTAGTATTTTAACTTAAATTCTAAACTCTGGGAGCTCTTCAGAATGTTCACATAATACATCATCTTCTATTTGATCTTCATTAATGGCAGGTGGTTGACCCAATGTGTTTTTATAAAATCGCAGCTAATTGATCCATTATCATACACAAACTATTTTTGCTTGCGAAATTGATCTAAACGCTTCTATCAAACGACTAAAAACACGTGCCCAGCAACGGTAATAATCAAATGATAATAAATCAGCATCAGCCCGGCAACTCGTAGCAGGCACGAAAACATACGATGGACCACGTGACACAATACAAATTAACGATTGGTTAAAGGGAGAATGCTAGTTTTGCAACTAATCAGTGCTTGGAGATTGCAAGTTTTCCTGCGAACCCCATTTTTCGATGACTAGTTATTGCGGAAGAGTGTGATTTTGCATCGTCCAAGTCTTGTATGATACCTTGGTAGTAAAAGTATCCTAATCTCTACAAAACTCATTTTTTTCAAAAAGTAGAGATTGTTAGTTTTGAAACTAGAGGCGTCATGTAATTTCATCAGCTTAGTTAAACAGATACTGCCAATTATAAGCAATAAGTGTACAGCAGGTACTCCTTGTTATACTAAAGCAACAAAGTGACAACTGTGGCGGTACCAAGGCATACAGTATGCACACCATGCTAGGCGCAAAAGTAACTATAGCAGCATTGTCACTTACAACACATATACCTTAGTAAAACATGACATTTGTTCAGATACGACTAACGCAAGTGTAGGATTTTGAAGAAAATATTGTTTTTCTTGCTCAAAGGCTTCACCCATGAGTAGAGAAAGTGCCAATGATTTACTAGGAATCAAAAACCACGTATGCCAGAAAATTGCAGATGCTTAAATTGGGCGAACAAAATGGCGAATTACATTTCTATAATTTTCTAGCGTTAATCTCCCTTTGAATTTTTGGGTCACCCGACACCTATGGGGTCATTAAAAACAATCCCAAACACCCGTCGCCGGCCATCTCGGAGTATAACCGCATACTCCAAAAAGATAAGGTTTAATGACATGTCAAGCGTAATTACCCGAGTCTCACTGGCGAGCGTTGCTGTTAGAATTCGACAACCTAACCTGTAAGGCATGTGGTACCAATATTTTGGAGAAACGTGTCACACATCTAGAGAAATGATTAATGTTTTGAGAAGATTGTTTTCAGGACGTTTGATCTTCCCATTAGACGATGTCATTTTACCCCCAAAATCACCTGATTTTTAATGGTTCTAGTGATCTTTCTGTAAGGGCTTGAGTCAAAATGAGGTGTAGGTATATCAACATATCAAGCACTGTACAGTAGCTGAAGGATATTCTGGAAGCTGTTCAAAATAGTTCGTCCGGAACCAAAAAGTTACGGAAAACGTAATCAACGGGGCTCAGGTCTCTGTGGGCATTAATATAATATCATTTTTCATACATAACACCTAACTGCCAATAAAAAATTGGGACAAAAATATTATATCTACTTCATTTCAATTTGAGGATGTTGAAAAAAACCAGTCATATATACAGGGTGTGGCGTAAAGAGTGGATAACCTTTAACCTGCAGTTAGAGGACATCATGACGATTCAAAAAATTGAAAATTGTGTCTAGTAAAAGCTGCACGGTTTTCAATTTTTGTGACGATTTTCAAATTTGGAGGAAATTGGCACCTTCACTCACTTTTTTAAGTCTCGTGATAACACATGAAGGGTTTTTCTCATTCCTTTTTCAGCATAATATTCTTGGATAAATGTGTCATAAAAATAAATTGCCATTTTCGTGCTACAGGTTTAATTGCTTTTTTAAAAAATGATTAAAACTCGGAAAAAATGTTTTTCTCTCTCAAGTTTGACCACGTGTGCTGTCAATAATATTGCGGTAACCTAGTGAAACAAGACGTGAATAATTTGCCTAATTCATTGAGATTGCAAAATGATACAATACACCGTATTTCCTGCTGTCAATTCAAAAGATGCTCCTATTAAGGTTAGCTAAGACTCCTATTTCTTCAAATACAATTTCTACTTAAATAATAAATATGAAGAAATCACATTTGCCTAGCTACCAGAAGGATAAGAATCTAACACAAGATACTAACTAACTTTATGGTGTAAGATTTCATTAAAATGAGAAAATTGAACAGACAACTCGCTAGATATGAACATGTTATTAGAAATTACACTAAGTGATCAAAATGACCACCACGAGCTCTGATATAGGCCCTGCTCTGTTTATAAATGTTTAATTTTGCGCGTGTATCCGGCTTCGTTGATTCCTCTTGCAGATGTTTGTATCCGCGCACGTAGTTCTTCCACAGCAAAAAAAGTCGAGAGGGTAGAGGTCTGGTGGGCACAAAATTGCTCCCAGGCGCCCGATCCACATCCGGTGATACATGTCGTCGAGATACTCTCGCACATTTTGGGCATAATGTGCAGGGCAACCATCGTACTGCAGCCACATTCTCATTCTTTGTTCTAGTGGAACATTTTCAAGTAATGTCGGGAGATCATTACTTAAAATACTTAAGTAGCTCCTGCAGTCAACGTCGGTGGTAATTCAAATGGACCTATAATTTGTCCATTAAAAATCTCAGTCCAAAGATTTATTTTAAATTGATATTGGGACTTATCTTCTCTTACTAAATGGGGATTGATGAGCTGCCAACGGTGTAAGTTATGGTCACTGACTCGTCACTTTACAAGATATAGTTAAAAAAATCAGGATTGGCTCTTATTCTCCGTAACATGTCCACGCAAAACGCAAATCTTAGTGGATACTCTCGTGGAAGTAGATTTTGAACTCTTTGATAGTAATAAGGGTGTAGCTGCTTCCGTTTCAACATTCTGTGTACCGTCCTTGTAGAGATGCCTGTTTCTTCATCATGTAGCGATTATCTCCCAGAGTAGTACCGCCGACACCAGTTCCGAGAAATCGGGGTTCCGTGTATGCGTTATAGGTACACACGAATGTATAATCGGGATGGTTTGCGTTAGGGTAGCTTTCCCGATAAAGTGCTGCGGCTTGATTGATATTACCACTACACACACCATGAATAAAATGCTTTTGAGCATACTCCCTTGGACTGTACTGAGACATTTCGGCTCACAAGATTGGGCTATCCACCAGATGGAAGATCTAAATCACTATACAAAACCACTGCGTGCAGTGAGGCTATCAAGGACTCTTGACACTTGATCTGTCACTAAGACATCAAACAAAAACAAACGAGTAGCTAGGCAAATGTGATTTCTCCATATTTATTATTTAAGTAGAAATTGTATTTGGCGAAATAGGAGTCTTAGCTAACCTTAATAGGAGCATCCTTTGAATTGACAGCAGGAAATACGGTGTATTGTATCATTTTGCAATCTCAATGAATTAGGCAAATTATTCACGTTTTGTTTCACTAGGTTACCGCAATATTATTGACAGCACACGTGGTCAAACTTGAGAGAGAAAAAACATTTTTTCCAAGTTTTAATGATTTTTTAAAGAAGCAATTAAACCTGTAGCACGAAAATGACAATTTATTTTTATGACACATTTATCCAAGAATATTATGCTGAAAAAGGAATGAGAAAAACCCTTCATGTGTTATCACGAGACTTAAAACAGTGAGTGAAGATGCCCATTTCCGCCAAATTTGAAAAACGTCACAAAACTTTACAACTTTTACTAGACACAATTTTCAATTTTTTGAATCGTTATGATGTTCTCTAACGGCAGGTTAAAGGTTATCGACTCTTTACGCCACACCCTGTAAAATAATAGAATCTACAATTAAAACACCTTCTTTCAGAACCCAGCCGTCGAAGAGTCCTTTGGTAGAAGTCTTTCGCAAACCTGTGGTAATCCCCGCATTGAAAGAAAAAGCAACCGAAGAACTTTCCAATAGATGGAACGAATTCGTAGCAAGTTACGATCCCTTGGAAAGGCCAGAACTACTTAAGAACACCCCAACATTTTTTGAATTTCTATGCATATCCCTCATTACCCTTGTTTCTCTGGTCAAAGATTGCAGGAAAGGTTTCAGGGTGATCAAAAATGACGCATATTCTAAAATCAAGTACACATTCTTTGCTGCACTAAGGGAAACTGAAAAGAGACAAGTGAACGTCAAGACGTTTTTACTTTCGATATTGAAGTCTCTAGATCCCAGAAATGTCATCGTACTTATTTTCCGGTACTTCTACTTCTTTTGCATATATTTGCCCATTCGGATACCTATAATAATCTATGCCGAAATAAAAGCGTTCTTCACTTGTCTAACCTTGGGTTATTGTCCATATCCCTACACTTTCGTAGGTATCATGTACACATATGTTCCATTGATCTACAACTCCACAAAAGAGATCTTCTACATTCTCTTGATTCTTGTATCCGCACCAAAAACAATCCTTCAAGATATCCTTTTGCAGAAAGAATCGTTACAGACCATTACTTTGTGTGGTAGGAAATCAGTAGCGTGGTCAGACCCCGTTAAAATTGAAACTATCAAGACTATTTCCAAGCAAACTGCTGTTTCTGAAACGGAAGTTATGCTTTCAGCTATATCAATGTGTCTCGCTAAGTATTTTACACAAAGTAATCAAAATATCCCCTGCGACTTGCCCGTAACCATGCGAAATGTCTGCTCTAATTATATCTTCGCAACAGGTAAGTTTTTTACTTGAGTGGTAATTCATTAATATAATTTCCGTTAACCAACAGGTCCCAACATAAAACCAGAAGACCATGTAAGTGGGATCTTGTGCTTGAACCTCCCAATTCCTGATCCAGAAAAGGACGTATCCCTCTTGGAAAACCTACTCGAAATTAAGAATAAATTTAATTCAGCTTTGGAAAAACAAGGATTGTCACATTTATTAACAATGCTGCAAACTAAATTCGGAATTTTGACCATGTTTTTGCCATCCACGATATTAAGTGTGTATCTGAAGTATCTGTCTAGGAAATATGCTGTTGTGGTTACTGAGGTGACTAGCAGATATCCAAATGTATTTCAAAAGACTCTATGGGGCCAAGAAGTGACGAGCGTTATCTACTGGAGACCGCCTCAAGCCAATACAAGTGAGTATACAGCGGGATCCAAGATATCCGTACAGAACATCAAAAAAATAGTGTAATAAGTTCCTTTAAAAAAAGTCCTACAGAGTTCCCTTACGGAAACGCCACTAGAAATCGTTTTTTTTTTCTTGTGTTTGAAAGTCTGCCCTGGTTCAGCATGTACCAGAATATAAAATATCTATAATTTCGTGTCTGGTGCTATCATCTGTCAAAATATCTTTCATTTCGCTGGGCTATTACGTAAAATACCCGAAAAAACGTCAAAAAACCGACATGTCAACTTGCTGCCTAGATAGTTCCTATACCCTATTCGTAGTCCATTTACGCCCCGGCACAACAAAGATGCAGCGCGGCAAAGCGGCAGCCGCCTAAGCGTTGCAATAGCTATTGGTCATTCGGTCATAAAACTACGAACAAGCGCAGGATTCGATAGAACTCAGGCTCGGGGCTCGGGGTATCGCCGGCACGCCGACGCCTGCAGTTGCTGTTCATATTCGGTGCATACATAGCGTGTGTTTATACGTTAGCATGTCGTCTACGGTTACAGCAGAGAATATTTCTCCCAATGCTTCCTTCAGCGATGTATCCTCCCCGAAAACGTGACAAAAAGGGACATTTGAATATTCAGGCAAAAGAAATTGTCCTTAACGTTTATAAGAGCGAAATCTTAGAGCATCCTGAAATGAAAATTCATCATATTGAAAGTCTTGTGGCGAACAAAACAGGCGCAGGTCTTAATACAATTTTCAACATTGTTAAATAATATAAAAAAAAACAAAAAAATGGCTGCATTACACGAAGCTGTTGGATACAGTTGATAACTTTGATCAGACGCAAAGTCCATCAAGTTTTTGAAAGGCAGGAGCTTCCCACCGTAGACAAAGTATTACAGGAGGTTAATAGTGATGAAAACTTATATATGTACTTTCAAGAGGACCACATTCTATAGCTTACTCAAAGAACTTCATTTTGAGTTTAGAAAACGGGGCAGAAATATTATCTTGATGGACAGCCAAGAGATTATTTTATCGAAAAGAAATTATTTAAAACCAATAAAGAAATACCGCGTCCAGGTCAGGAACATTTATTACTTGGATGAAACCTGGATAAGTGCAGGTCATACAAAACCTAAAGTATGGGCTGACTCCACAATTAAATCAGCAAGACAAGCCTTCTTAGATGAACTCACCCCTGGCCTAAAGAATCCGTCAGGTACGTGTATCTAACCAATTCATCATTTGTGTTGTAAAAATAATGGTGTCAACTAGACTGATTTTATGAGCCCACGCTGAAAACTTAGCTACACTAAACTTAGCTATATCTGGTAGATTTGGAACCAACACCTGTTAGATACTCTGATTGTATTATTATTAGTTTTCTTGAATATTATATGAAATAATTATTTCCAGGAAACGAAAATGATTTGTTATCTGTCACATTGGCAGTGAAGGTGGCTTTGTGCCCACTGCCCTAGGGGCATTTGAGTCAAAGAAAGCGACCGACTACCATGAAGAAATGGACGGGAGTTCATTTTAACGATGGTTTGAAGAAACGCTCCCAAAGCTTGACGACAATGCCGTGATTGTACTTGATAATGCTGCATACCACAATAGAAAACTAGAAAAAAATCACACAATGTCAATCAAAAGACATTAGTTTCAATAAAAATATGGTCAAATCAGAACTTATCCATCTAGTCAGGCAACACAAATATAAATATAATCTTAATGTTATTGACGAAATTGCTAAAAACAAAAATAAGACCGTTTTAAGGCTACCCCCTTATCACTGCGAATTAAATCCCATTGAAATGATTTGGGCAAATATAAAACTCTATGTGGCTTCAAACAATAGAACGTTTAAGTTTTCTGATGTGAAAAATTTGTTTTATGAATCTGTCAACAGAGAAACGGTAAACCATTGGAAAGATTGCATCCGTCACGTTCAAGAGGCAATCAAAAAAAAGATGTGGGATCTGGATAATATGATCGATATACAAATTGAACCTGTAATAATTAATATCAATCATTTGTGCGATGATTCAAGTACTTCCAGCGAATAAAGAATGGTGAAAAGCACGTGCACTTCTTTCTATAAAAATAATCATTTATTTTGTTAGATTATTCCAAGACCATTGAGGAAAATACGGACCTGAACAATCTCGCTTTTGGGCATGTTGTGTTTTGTCTGGGCGTAAATGGACTACGAATGGGGTATAGTGTGCAAGTAGTACATTCCGCTTTGCTCGCTATGAGCGTCCATCTATGGAGGAATGTCTCAACGAAACGACATGCTGAATGACCATGCTGCAAGCTTCAAGAAAGAAAATGCCGAGATACTCTGCAGAGTATTCTCTGAGAAGATGTGTGGTTGATTAGCAAGATCACATCTGGATTAATTCTGCATTGGACTGCATGTGTATAAGATCAGTGATATTTGCTATATGAGAAAATTATTACTGAAAATGCTGCCCATGAAAGAAATCTCTTAGTTGTGCAAGACGGATTATTTGTGTTGTCAGGAAGTCACCAACGCGTCCGCGTTGTGTGTATTTGTAATTAAGCCACATCACAGAAAAATTAGGAATGACCCATCACACACAAAACATTTTCGCAGTAGCTCGCATCTAGGCGCTGATTTATATTTTCTACTTAACATCGTAAAATAAATTTCTATAAAATTTAAATGACTGGGAATAAAGATTAATGTGAAATGTAATAACTTTTTTACGTTTCATAAAGTTTCCCGAATGTACCATATTTTCTCACCTGTTAGTTTTAATATACATCACCAACGAGGGATTTTCTTTTCTTATCGCTCTCTTTTTGAAATTCAGAAAGTTTGCATATGTAAAATGTAAATCCGCCAAGCCGTTTAAGCTGTAGCCCGGTTGATTTTCTCATTATAGTCCGCCATTAAGTTTTTATAAAATCTTAGTATAGCCAAATTCACTCACACGGCCTAGACGAATCCAACAAAACCTAATATGTCGAATCAATCAAACCGTTTGGCCTGGAGTCCCTGAATATGTAGATACTCAACCGTGAGAAGCATATCTCTCCTTTTGAGTCAGTCGGGATAATTAACATATTTTGGATAGAACATACAGAAATGCTTTTGTCCTCTTTTTACTTCATTCATTTTGATCTCCATTGTATGACTGTAGGATGTTTCGTTAATTCACACACAGGACGTTCATGACACGACCCTAAAATTATCGCAGCATGATACGGTATAGTAGGCAAAGACTTCAAAAGTTATTCAGTATACATAGAAAAAACTTCAGTCCTTTAGATCGTCAGGAACTTAAATGATTTGGTATTTTTCTTCAGGTATATCACTCTGTCTGAACGAATATGCAGACTACGTGAAACTAGGAGTTATGTGTGATGCCCAGTTGATACCACATCATCCGTTCTTGGTCAGAGGATTCCCTGAATTCATACAGGACTTGGGAAAAGCAGCAATCGTGCCCTGATCACTTGCGTCATCATTGAGCATTCGCAACGAATCATGTTATTTTTTTTCTTCATCATCACATTGTATATCTTAATATATATTGTATATCTTAATATGCTGCTGCTTTAATACTTGACCAGTTGTTTCTTTAGTACATTTTTGTGTTTTTTTTTCCTTTTTGTTTATCAGGGTGCCAAATACAAAATTGAAATATATGTAGAAGTTTTAATTAATTTCCCTAATATATTTTGTTCTATGAAACACAAATTACACAGGCATGTAGAAGTTAAATTTTATTTTCACCTTCCAACGATGGTATTATTTTTTTAAATACCTATGCATGTGGAATCCACAGACGGCTTTTGTCTTTTCTATCACATGGAGATTTGTTTTTATTATATCCACGTTTTTTGGACGTTTAAACGATTTTCATGGAAAGACATTTTTTTTGCTGTTTTACTTTCCAGGCCTGCTGGTGTCGAAGTATTGTGATCACGAGGAATTTCGAATATAACATGTCACTAATTTCCGTTTGTCTGAGACTAAAAAGCTTTGTGGGTTTACAAAATCGGTCCAGTAGCAGCGGAGCTACGGCAAAAGAGAAAAACAAAAATTGCTCAAACTTTGTTTTTTGACGCACCAGGGGCTCCTTTCGGAACATTTTTTGTAAGTGTTAAACATTTGGGTTGAGGTTGTAGGTGCTGGGGGGGAGTGTATTTCGGTTTTTTGTCGCCACTATATTCAAAGGCTTCTAAAACCGCAAATTCTATGCATTTATTTGTACATATATCATAGGTTTTGCTGTGCATTTGATATTGAAACGTGGAGAAATATCAAACGGACGTGTCGCATCTAGGTCGCACTTTTGCTATACGTTACGAACTTACCTCGATGCTCACAAAATCTGACGTTGCCAGATGGTCGATACTTTCAGTGAGGGCAGGGAAGAAGTTTCTAGGGGTTTCTAGTTCGCAGCGTTACACATGTTCGTAGTTAACATTGTTCTTATAACAATAATACTTTACAACATGATGGCAGCGTTGCGTGGGAAGTGTAGAGTCAACCTACTTGACGCCATTTTTTTTGTTTGTAACTGTGCATTATGAAAATTTCTACAGACGAAAAGTACGTTTTTCAAATCCGCTAATAAAAATTGGCAAAAGAACACTTTTTCGTTAACCGTCTTTTTTTAATTTCAAAGCTTTGTTTCCCTGCTGAATCCCCCCTCTCTTTCAGAGAAATCCGTAGTATGTACATAAGTAACTACTTAGTTACTGCCTCTGCGCGTTCACGTCCGCTGCTGTGTATATTGTATACCGCCATTCCCAGAGCAGGTGTAAATAAAATGATTCAAATACAAAGTTGCTAACAATGAATGACATATTACCGCACAAATAAACCAGTCACGTGGACACACTGTGAAAATAACAAGAAAACAAACCGTCTACCGTCAATAGCCTTGCTCGTTTGCTCAGTCTTTACCTAAGGTCAGTGCAGCAGCAGGTTGGATTTTTTAAATAGCTCTGACCACAGCCGATGACATATTTAGGGACAGCTGGCATCGGTCCCATCGCACGCGACCGCGTCAAACTAAGACAGTGCAGTGCGAACGACACCTTAGAAAAGGATATAGATACTACCCCACATATTGCTTCCAATTAATATCCCTTTTCTTGGCAAAGAAAGGCTCTAAGGAACCTGGACGTTTCTAATACTACAAACCCTCTTATTTATTTGTCAGTGCAATATGGGATAGGGTTATTACGTCACGTATTGCTTCCAATTAATGTCCTTTTTAACAAAGATAAGCTCTAACGAAGCTGAACGTTTGTAATACTAAAAGTTCTCTCATTCGGTTTGCTGTAGCTTATTCCATAAGTCGCCTGTAGTATCCCCAACCACTAAGCCCAGAGGGCATATAGCTGCAAAAGCATTATGCCAGTTGTGTAGTAGAAACATTGTTGAATTAAAACCAATTCCTGGGGATCTTGCTTCTAATTCGGTGCCATCTCAGGTCCCCATAACGGGTTCCAATTTCATTGATGAGTCATTCGCGATTTTGAGCTAGTTACTTGATATCCCTTTTTAAACGCTATCGCTAAACAAGTGGTGGAGGTTTCTTATTGGTACTTCTATCACCTTGCGGATCACTAGCAACAGAACAATGGACATATAGTCGTTTGAAAAATTGTTGCATGCCCTTTTGAGATGAACGAGTTTCCGGTCGCCTTGGAGAAAGTTTGAGGCCGTAACACACCTAGATGATACGCAAAGCGTAGGAGCAGGAAGGTATCATAAAGGTCCGATGCAAAATCCTTTTTCATCATTACGACAGGTATGCTGAGGTCTGAAGCTTTGTTAAATCGAATCACCCTCCTGACGATCTGATCGAGATGTCGAGAGTTTGCAGCTGACGTCAACAGGAAAGAGGCAAGCCACGACCGCTCAAGCCCAGTATCAAACACGTCTGCCTTTCAGGAGTGGAAACGCTAGTCGGTGGTGACCGAACCTGATTTTTTTACCTCTGCACGTGACTCTTCTTAACCTTTTCGCTGACAGAGCACTAACAACTGATCTCAAAACTGCTTCAGTTCCAACCAGAAGCTCCGTCGTGGCCGACTTCAAGGAATGAACTGAATCTCAACCGTGTGAAGAGTTTACGACACACGCTGGTTCACTTTTCACTCTCCGCTCAAGATAAAAGTCACCAAAGAGAGATCGAAAGCATTCCACGCTGTCGCCTCTTTGCCCTGTGTGAACGTAGCTTCAAGCATGCTAGCGTGATCCTCGCGTTCGTGGAATTGTCTCTGAATGAAATGGCGTGAGTTTGGCTCTGACCTCTGTCGTCCTTGAGAGAGAGGCAAGCCCACGACCGCTCACGCTCGGTATCAAACACGTTTGACTTTCAGGCGCGGACAACCCAGTCGAGAGCGAGGCAGATCGTAATCTACCTTTGAAATGTGTAGTGAAACGCGTCCCAGAAAAAAATCAAACTGAACTTTTCAGACATTTGTAGAAAATGTTTTAAAATCTTCGGGGTGTTCATTTCTTAGTTCAGCGTCTGACAAAATGTGTTCCCGTCAAATTTCTTAGACAAGTATTCATTTTCTGACCCAACAAAGGTTTTTCTTTATTGTTAATCTGCCCGAGTGACTTTAAACCTTTTCGCTAACATATTACTAAAATCTCAACTCAGAAAAGCACAGCTATCAATTAGAAGTTCCTTATTGGTCGGTTTCATGGGATAACACTCTTCACGTCACTCCTCAACCTTTTCGCTAACATAGCGCTAAAAACTGAATTCAAAACTGCACAGGCCTGCTTCAAGAAATTAACAGAATCGCGGTGTCAGATTATTAGTTTCACTAATCGAGGGAACTGTCCACCACCTTTGCTGGTTAACTTTTCACTCCCCACTCTAAAGCACGCCACGCTGTCATTTTTTTGTCCAATAAAAACGTAGTTTTATACTTAGAAGTCGGATGCAATCGTTCCGTCTTGACATTTGAACGGCGAAACCCCATTGGGTTTTTTAGTCGTCTTACGAACAAATATCTTTTCGATTTGGATTAATATACATGACAATTATACGCGCCACTGTATACCTAATGTTTGAGATGTGGATTTTGAACTAATGAAATTGATATATTATTTCTGATGTAATCTACTGTTCTACCTTTACGCCACCTATTCGCTGCGCCTCTGACGTAGAGAGTGGAAGGTAGAATATCCAATACCCATCCATCTCGTTTCAGCAGACTGAACTGAGTTCAGTGTTTTGCATGTTTCCAGGCCGGTAGTCGGTTTATCCGGGTAAAAACGGGTATAGAACTGTATCTTGGGGTATTCAAAATATTCCCCCATCTGCATGTTATTGAACGAGTTTCTATATTTGTTCAGTAAAAATCGCTGTTCCTATTTTAATTTGTGTTAGCATTAACTCGTTCGACCTAAAGTGATTCTCGAGTCTTCCAATTACCACATCGGTAAGTAAAGGATTTCTCTTTTATTTATTCTCAATTTAGATGTCTTGTCCAGTGTTAAAACAAATATATGTACCCATTAGCACCTCAGTATTCTTTATGAAAGTGTTCATTCATATTTTACAAGAATCAATATCTGCGAAGTATTGGCGATATTCACGTTATTCAAATATTGTCTAATAGTTCTATAAATTGTAATCTACCTATTTTCGTGTATCAAACAGTGTATTTTGTACAGGTCACCAGTCCGTTTGGTGGGTATCGATTTTTAACATATGTTGAGAGTTGCGGGACGAACCACGATATTCGAGCTGTATAGGGATGAGGTCGATTGTAACATTCATTAATGTATTCTAAACAGCTGTGACAGTTGCTCATAGATGACACTACGGTATCTCATTTCATCTCGGATCATTTTTTGGATGCTATTTTTTGGCTATCTTCAGGTAGAATAGTTGATCAGTGATTGTAATTAATTCAGAATGGGCACACTTATGTAGTATCCATCCTTTAACTGAAATTGACCTGTATTACTGACCATCTACTGGATACAATCATTCGTTTCAAAATTGCCCTGACCTTCAAGAAGCTCCATACAGGTAGCGTCAAGGGGTCCCATCATCCATAGTACGAATGTTTTGCCGGTTATTTGATCCTCTACACAGACTGGGTCAGTGAAAACGTAACACGGCCAATTTCTCATAAGTCGCATAAGGGAAGAAATCGCTCAGACCTGTCGATTTGTACTTCTAAGGGGACCTATTGCACCTATTATCAATCTTGCATTTTGCCACTTTTATCCCTGCGGCGGGTTGAAAAACAACCCTTACATCTTAAATGGGATGACAGGTCATACCGCACCTCATTTTGAGGCTTATGAGTACTTTATAAGCCTCAAATATAGATGATGAACTGAAAGGTTGTCAAAGTTTAGCGTTTAGTATTTTATGCTATTAATCTTCTTCTTTTGAAAGGTTTTATACGAAAATTTAATAAAATATGCAATATTACACCCAAAAAAAAAAATTGTCAAAATCTGTAAATTTTTTTATGGGAATTTTCAGATGTGACATTTTGAACATTTGTTGTAGAGTTATAGCAACTCATTGTACAAAACCGCTAAACTTGCCTGCCAGTCCACCATTTTGAAAGTCGACCAGTCCCAGCAATTTTTCACCACAAATGTCATTTATGTGAAAATGACCTTGTTTTGACAGACATAGCCATATGGACATCCCAAAATCCCACTGCTTTGAATTAATTACAAGTAACAGTAGTAAATATTCTAAACTAATTATTTTATCTATGTTTCTTGTACTAAACATTTTATCAATATCTTTTGTGCATCATAAATATCAATTTCCAGAGCGTATGAACAATTCCTTTCATTGAACACAATTGAAATAATTAAAGTTTATTTTGCTGATTAAAATGTCTTCAATGCAATGAGTCCAAAAACAGTGTGCAGCTTTCATATCTACACAAGTGCAAGAATGAATTCAAACTTGGCTACTTTGCGCCTTATCTTTTTAGTTCCTGGAACCAAACTTCTTGGGAAAACCCCAGATGACCCTAGGTTCTAGTCATGTCGCACCTCTTAATTCCAATACAGTATAGACAACAGTATCGTGCTTATTGTACCTTAAAATCACACAGCTGCCTAAAAGCTTGGCGAAGTACTTGGAAACAGAGCCTGATACGTTATTAATTAAATCCACTTCCAGAATTTTTTTAGTAGCTGTGACTTTGAGGACGTTTTAATGTTTGTGTACCTTCAGTATATTTTGGTATCAGAAAACCCAGTCAAAATAAAATCTGCTGCCGTAATTGAATCGAATGCCAAGAAAAATATATTGAGGTATCATGCCAGAAAGATGCCGGTACGAAAAATAATTGCTAAAGTTTGTGCAAGCTTGAAATCTATTACTTGCAGGAAATATCGTCACGAGTTTTGTGAATGTCGTAAAAATAGAAAATCCGGCTATTTTTGTCATACGTACGCTGATTTAACCTGTACCTAGTATAAATAGTATTATGCATACTAAGCTTTATGTAAGTAATACATAATTATAACTTCTTCATTGTCAAGGAACTCGATTCATTTAGAGGGATTTTTTAGTAAAGTTTCTGGCAGCTGGGCCACTTTTGATCTTTTTTCCGACCCCAGACACCAACACTCAAACGAAAATCTGCTAGGCTTTGAATAATGATAGCAATATTAGACCAATCCACTTGAGAGGTTGAATAAACGATTTTTCTCAACCAGAACATTAAGCACTGAATTTGGTTCAAACTCATCTAGTCGTGTCAAACCCATCCCGAAAAAGGATCTAAGACCGACCCTTACAACTACAGACCCATAGCTCTGCTTTCTGTTATAAGTAAGGTGATGGAGAAATAAAACATAATGGCTTGATTAGCCATAGGTAGTATGGTTTCCGACACCAGCGACCCACAGGAGACCTTCTAGCTGACGTCCCGCAACTGTCCAATCTTTTGGTGAGCCTCATGTCGTTGTTCTTGATATCACGCAAGCGCTCGATCAGCTGCGGCATGCTGCCCTCTTATGCAAACTTTCATCCTATCGCGTTCCAGAGAACCGTTGCAGATGGCTGGCTGATTCCTCACTGGCCGCAAGATATCCATCGTAATTAACGGGTTCTCTTCTTCATCCCACCACGTCAATGCGGGTGTTACCCAGGGATCGGTCATGGCTCCGACATTGTTCTTCTTTCATATCAACGACCTCTTTTCCTGTACAGTCAATCCGCTCATTAGCGGCAATTGCTGGGAAAAAGCTAAGCTATTTGCTTAGGGCTAATACTTTTCTCTACATGGCCTCATCACTCTATACAAAGCCCAGATTAGACCTAGTCTCGAGCAGCGCTCATGTTTTAAAGTGCTGCTGCTCTGATTACATTATCCATGTTCGATGCTGTTAAGAGGAGGGCTGTCCTACTGATCGATGACTCTTCTCTATCGGACAGTCGGCGATCTAGCTCTCTTCTACCGCTACGCCGATGGGCTTTGTTCCTCAAAGCACTCCTCCATTATGCCGCCGCGCGATGTGCCAGCTAGACAGACCCGCTTTTTGTCCATAGGGTATCGAAACTGTGGAACAATCTACATAAGGAGGCTTTTCGCAGTAACTACTAAGATTAAGCAGTTCAAAAATCGGATTAACAAAGTTTCTTTAAGCTCCTCATAGCAGTCGCGGTGTCCTGGCATTTCGGCTTCTGCCTGCGCGGTTGCTTCAATATAAAAAAAATAGCCAAAGGTTCACCGAATATGCTATAATCTTCTTGGGGTGCTGCAGTAACCTGTTCTTTACCATATTTCTGCCGATTTCCTGTGTGCCCAGTCGCCGAGGGTGGCATAAACCTGGTGTCTGCTAATTTCTAGCATCGGCCAAGGAGGAGTTCTGGAATCCATAATAGAATCACGCCTTCCACGAGATAGACCTTTGACCACTCCTGTATCACAACTGATCGTATCTTTGGAGGTGGCTTTGAAGCCTCTCGGCAGAACATATATAGGGTACGGTAGAGCCTACTAGGACATCTGGATCTATGAAAAATTTTAAATTATCAGGAATTCTATTAATCACGGAGCTCCGACGGGTCGAATGATGCGACCCGCCTGGATGCTGGTTTTGGAGTGAATAAGGAGCTTCCCCGTCGACGCACCACGGATCCACGACCCTCTTTTTACCTGCTTTTCTCTTGATAAACAAAACGCATATGAGATGTAAACAACTTCAAAGTAATAAAACCATAAACACATTGTTGCTCTTGAAGGGATTGATAACACATTTTATATTTCTGAGCTTTGGAAATAATACTTCAAGCCTTCAGCAGCTACACACTGTTGGAGACGACTCCTGAAGCTCAGAACAGCTCGTTTTCACATATGGCGGGGAATAGAAACTTCTTGGACAATCCGGTCTCTTAGTTCTAATAGTTTGAGGAGGATGCCGAAGCACCTTTTTCTTTAGACATCCCCAGAAACAAAGCCACATATGCTCGAATCTGGGCACCGCGTACGCATCACCTTTCAACGTGGCGAGACTTCCTGGAAACATTTATCAAAATATTCATTGAATGTTGGGGTCTGTAAGCTGTATACCCATTTTGCTGGAACCACTAGTCTTCATAACCAAAATTAGAAGAGCTCGTCGAGATTAGGGGATTTGTGGTTCTAACAGAATAACTACAGCTCACACAACCCAACATTCAATGAATGTTTTGAGAGATTGTTTCCAGGACGTCTCGTTAAAAGGTGGTGTGGAGTGGGGAACGTAACCACTAGATTTGCTTAATCATCCTCTTTACACTCTATTAGAGCTAAGAGACTATTGAAGGAATCATCTCCAACAGTGTGGTACAGCTGACGGCCGCAATTTTGAAGATTTAACAAACGTAAAATGGTATAAACTGTTGACTCCGAAATTAAAAATAGTTTTTTCTCTGCATCTAGATGACTTTTTTGTACTTTTTTCAAAATATTTAGTTAGTTCTGTCGCACGTTGTAGTGCTGTACCTGTTTGTATAAAAAATGCTGCTTACCTATACCATGAAAAATTTATTTTCTTTTAAAGGTGATATTTAGATACCAGAAAAAATACAAAGATGAACTAACGAATGTAAGCGGTTAGTTTATTACAGTAGGTGTTGAAATTATTATAGATCATATCCGTTAGTATGTATATAAATTTTATTCTAGCTCGTGGCGAGTATGCGGGTTGGCTAGGGATAGAAAATGATAAAAATACAATTCGTAGATATTAATTAAAGTCCCAGCCAAAAATAAGTACATTGAAACGGACTGAAAGTGTTTCACTGCAAGAAAAAATTATTACAGATAATTTGCTTGCATAGTTTTCTCATGGGTATTGGGCCCTTATTACGAAACCAACAGCGTCTTTAAAAATACCAACGCCTAGGATCATTGGCGAATAAGTTGCCTGGTGCACAAGTAGATGCTAATGATACTTCACAAAAATTCCTAAATATATGGCTGGCAACTAGAATCGTGGCAATAGGGGAGTACAGTAGTTTTGTGAACCATATTCAAGATTTTTGGGGGCTAATACATGATCATGAATTACAAAAAAGTTTCCTCTTGCCGATGTCTGATCGATCCCTCCTGAGAAAAATTCCTGCGGGCGTCCATGGAAAAGAGGTGACAACACTGACAACTGTTTCCTACAACTAGTTCGCCAAAGCTTGATCTTCAGCCCATACGCTGACAATGCAGAAGACCCCTACCACTCTGACCTACATTGAATGATAGTTCAATGAACGGATAGATGTTGCCTACCATCATTAATAAAAAGGACGACCCGTCAGTAAGCTGAAATACGAGGCATTCTCTGGGCTACCAGCAATGGTGCGCTATGGACGGCTTTTTGCAGAAAGGAACCAACCCACTAAATATGAATAGGAAAATAAACTATTACGAGCATTACCATTTACTGTTAAAAAATCCATACACACATTTGAAGCCTTTAGTATGCCATTAATTAAAATCGTGTTTAGTCTGAAATGAATTTGTTATCATTGTCAAAACTTTAAAGCCTAATTGCTTAATAATTGTTTTTCTGGGCTGGTTCCTTTCTGCAAAAAGCCGCCCCTATGTGAAATTGCATAAAGAGACATGTTTATATTCGCTATTATTCCTTAATTTCCAGAAATCTGGTAGGCAGTGACACCGTCACAGTAAACCGATACTGTTTGTACTAATTCGTCTTATCTATTTTCCAAATTCCAAAATTAATAATAAAAATAATACTATTTATTTGCAGCTATCAGTACAAAAACAATAAAAATCGCACAAATGTACAAAAAATGCATCTGCAAAAAGGACAGGCAGTCTCCTATTGATCAAGGTACCAGCCCTGTCATCATAACTCAAATAGCACATGGTAATTGCAATTAACGTATCATCAAAATGGAATAATAACAAAAAAATGAAAGATTGAAAAAAAGACGTAGTAGCAGAAATACATAAACAAGGGAAATACTCTCAAATCATCTAGCTCCTTATACTGGCAGTTCAAGCAGAATATACACATAGGAAGCAAGCATAAGAAAAAATCGCTCAGCTGTCTGGAGTCTACGAGCCTTTTATATCAAATTTGAAAGTTGACATTGGAGCTTTTTTGATATTTGTGGGAACTTGGTTGTACAATCGACAAACATTATTACAAATAACAAATAATATCAAGAATAACTGATTCCTAGACAACTTATTCACGAATTTTTTTCTCGTAAATGTATTATTTACGAATAATACTGTTTATCGGATAATTAGATAACAATTTATCCGAATAATGCCCAGCTTTGCTGTTGAGCGCGACAGAATCGCATGAATTTACTTCAGAAGTACTTGGTTGAAACTAGTTTCGTGATAGTTGTGCGTTAAAATCAATTATATGACCCTAGTCCGGATTACTTAAAATTATTAATTAGCATAGAACTTGCCAGCCAAAACTATTTAAAGATTTGGAGCATACCGGATCGCGCCGACTAAGAAATATGCGGCACTAATCAGTCTGGTCATTCGACCAATAAAGCATACTCAACAATTAGAGGAATTACTGGAAGTGAACACACATTTGTTTATACTATTGAATCATCGAAAGCTATCGCGCAAGTTTATCTTTCGCAGTTCAGCAGTTTAGCGCTCGAGAGCCACTTGCCGGTAGTATAATCGTAATCTGGGCAAAAAATTAGTCTCTCGGTTTCAGTTATGGTGTTGTGCGTGACTTGGGATGTGTGAGAGACCAGACTTACGGCTATTATTGGCACTGTGAGCGCGCTACAGATAAGTATGTTTTTGTGTACGTATTTTTTTTAGCTTAGTTTAGTTATTTACATATTGGTAACCTTGCGCTTATCCGATTCCTGCATACAGGGTGTACAGTGTGCGATTAAAAACCGCGTGATTATTTTTACAATTGGAGAGATCCCGATCCCGGTTTGGTTAGATCAGCTTATTTATCTTTATTTGTTTGTTCTGCTTGTCCGGTCCAACTGAAACGATGTTGCAGATACACTTTGGCCTTTCACTAAGTTTTTGAGACAATCGGAGTCACATTTGAAAAGCACATACTGAGCTGCCTTAAATCCGACCACCCGATGGCGATCACAAAAAGATCACTAATTGCAGCTTCTGATCCACAAGCTGCGAAGGTGATCAGTGCTTGCAAGTTGTGACTATGACTTGTTATCAGCAATCTCCAACGTTTATCGAATGATGGAGGGAAGGATATGTCTAAACACTAGTGCCAACTGGCTGCGTTTATCTTGACCACCTCTTGTGTAAATTAGTAGCCACGACCAATAATCTAATATCCATCGACTTGATGAGTGATTGAGTGCTTGATTCCACTCATTAAAATTAGGTAAATTTAGGTATCGATAGCTAAACTAACGAAGAATGTAAGAGTTGCTATAGCTATGTGTAAGAAACATGTTAAATGTGTAGTGGAGCTGTGGATTACTAAATTGGCTGTAGTGAAAAAGCCTCTTGGTGAGACAAATAGTATCGTTATTTTTGTGTGTCGTTAAGTTCCAAGCAAAGGATCTGAAAGATACTACTTCCATGCTATTCTTCAGGAAGACACTGCTGCCAGAAAAACTATATATGTGTACGATTCACAATATACTGAGTGTCGCAGAGTTTTAATCACAGAGTAGTAACGTTGAATTACCCACTACAAATCTAGAACCTAGAGCTCAGACGGCCAATAAGTGATTCAAGAGCGGCACCTTGCCTGTTAGATTACCATATCATTATATGGAATCAAACTTCGCCAAAAAAAAAAATGACAGTTTATTCTAGGAAAACTAACTACTACTTTTGATGCCTGATCATGCCCTAACTGTAAGTTGAAATTTCCTATTACAAAAATTGTTGTGTAGTAGATCTCGTTCTATTCGTATTATAGTCACTATTATAATAGGCATCATGTGGATAGATAATTTTTTTAACTAATTATGGGAACTGTATATGTACAGTTCTATGACGCATTGTATGTTTGTTCGCAAAGTTTTTTAATTGTCAGGATAATAAATCGCTAATGTCTTTTTAACCGCTAGAATGCGATGCAATGAAAATTATTTATAACACATTACCGAAGCGCCCGTTACGTGATATAAATCGTAATTCGTGGTACTTGATACTAGTATACAAATACATTGTAGTTTTACCACCAATATCAGGAAACTTTTTGAGAAGGTACATTCTTTATAATAAAAAATCATTCCCAAATCTATCAATGTAGAAATTAAAATTGCGGGTAAATTTGTGATAAGCGTTTGCGCGTATACACTGATTGTCTATCGACATACAATGTATACAACGCGTATGCAATGTAAACAATATGTATATAGTATATACAATGCCAAAATAGTAATAAATGCAGTAAACTGACAATTATGAAAACAATATGGTTTGGTGCGCTAAAATTGAGGAAATTAATGAACTATGGTTCGATTTGTTCAAAAAAGTTGCACAATTTAGCTGCATGTCGCTTAAAATCGTGATAATTCCTAATAAATTTGAAACTATAACTTTATATAAATATATAAAAATAACCAATATCTATATTTATACCTTTTCTAATTATCCAAAAATCAGGCGTTGGATAAATGCAAGTGACTTACATACCTGAACTATTTTATTTACTATTGTATACATTGCTTACATTGTCTACATGAATATCAAGACGTATACAATTACAATTGTATGCACGACCAGTGCCGATAACAGAAGAAAGTTCGTAGTACGACAAGCAATATGGGGACGTGCGTTGTCATATTGCCTTGACCAAAAAGAAGGGGTAGTCGGCAATAGCCCCCAAAACCATTACTCCCAACAGTCCTGTGTGCATGCCTCTCAACAGCAAATCCAATATCATACCGGCGAAGTGTTACATTTCTACGACCATCGTGCGTACCTAGACAGAATCGCGATTCGTCGCTAAAGATGACATTATGCCATTCTGCCTCCCAATGTTGCCCTTCTCTGCTCCAGTTCAAACGTTGATGACAGTGTTCCGCAGTCAGAGGAAGCACTAACCGTGGACGGTATGAAAAAGGTCCAAAGGCTCGAATGCGGCGATAGAGTGTACGCATAGTAACAGGTCTACCTTTTTCTCCAAACCATCGGTCAGCGATCTGACGCCGTAGTAGCCAAACGGTCTCGTAGGGCTAGTTGCCTGAAGCGCCTGTCTTGACGCTCAGTGGAACGCCTACGTGGACCAGTTGGTGTTCTTCGTCTACCTTCTTCTATCCACACCCAACACACACAGTAGTACAATTAACACGCCGGCCAATGTCGCGATAGAACAAACCAACATCTCGATATGCAATAATTCTACCCCTATCAAAGTCCATGGTGATAATTTGGACGTCTTCGAACTCGAGGCATTTTGTTTGTATGCTTAATACTAGAGTAAATGAAAGGGCAATAACTAAAAATATCTGTGCTACTCAGCTCTCAGAAACTCTTTTCTTCACAAAAACTAAGAGATAACGTTTTAACAAACAAAAACAAAGATAAAACGTCGACATTGTTGCCACAGCATACTTTAAATACAGTCATTATGTTGCCAGAAAAAACAAGTTGAAGAAATAATTTTTTCTGGGTTTAACACTTCTTATGTCACTGAGAGTATATTTATATATGCTTACATGGTCATATTATGTATGACATGAAGGTCACATCAAAATTAATTACAACTTTCGAAATTCAGTCAGAAACAGACACCTGTATTCTCAAGCAATATCAAATTCGAGCTGTCTCTGAGTTAAACTGTGACATTCTGAGCAAACGCAATCCGGATGGGAATAGTTCCAAAGTGGACGCATTCGTCATTCATATATGACAAATTGCACCAGAAGCGCGAGACGCGTGCAATAAGTATGTTAGATGGAGTGCGCCGATGGCATTCGTGACCTCGTACTCCGGTTGCTAGGCAACGAGGTGCTTCTATCTCTTTCTAACATACGTACTTCACGCTTCTTGCACTTCTCTCTTGTACACATTACGTCAGCCAAATTTGAACCTCACCGTTAGGGTAGCTCTAGAATACTATACAGAAGATCCTGGTTTTTGTGAAAAAATCACAACCAAACTCAAGTTTTTCTCGGTTGTACTCAAGAGCTGGCGAAATTTGATCTTTGTGATTTTTTCGTACATGAAAAATTCGCAAGGGTTATTGCCCAGGTGGAGCAACGTTTTAATCAAATCCTACCTGCACTGCAAGTATTTGGTAATCTGCTGCAATTTGTCATAATATTAATGATGAATGATAATATTAATGATGAATGCGTCCACTTTTTTGTTCCAATTCGTGTTGCGTTTGCTCAGAATTTCACAGCTTCATGAATACTATTTTGTAAGGTAAAAATGGCAATCTGAAATTCCAAGATGGCACCCATCCCAGTCATCCTTCGAATAGAATGAGAGGGGGATGTGACAGCTCGAAAAGCTTCATTTCGGTACAACCCTAGAGTATACGTCTACTATCTTTCAACGGTCTGTCAAACTGTCAAATTAGAGCGTTTTTGTTCATTGAATCGCTTGTGACTCTGCAACTAATTATGTTTTATTATTAGTGTGTTATATTTTGGAAGAGTCTGAATGTGTAATGCAAAATACGAGACTCCGTTTAGAAAAAAATGAAAGTTTTTGACAGTGTTTTAGAATGGAATGTTCCATACTTAATTGCATATCATATTCCAATAGATCATTTCACAAGAAGAAGATTGATATAACATACTATAGATTTTTTATGATTGGTTATTGGGTTATAAGCGATTTTAAAATGTAATAATCTTATATCATAGGGTTATAAAGTACTCATATGGAGTATTCCCATTCAATTAAAAAAAATGTGATACAAGGTGTTCCACAACCACCTCTCTTAAAATTTTTAACTGCAGCGCTTAGGTTAAAAGATTTATGCATCAATTTCGTCACCCTGAATTTCAACTCGCTAATCTCACTCTTTCAAAAAATCAGTTTGTTCGCGGGACTTTCTGGAAAGCACTGTATACGCTCTTCATTTAAAAATTACTATGAATCTTGATTTTTAAGAGTCCACATATACCCAGTTCATGGTCTACACAAAGAGATTGGAGGTCATTTTTAACACACTTTTATTAGCTTGGCCTGTATGTATCTTTGAGCATAATTTTCACCAATTTCCAGAAGTTTGATTAATTTGAAACTTCGCTCACGTATCAAGGACCGATGACAATGCAATAATTTGGTAACAGTTTTCCATTATCCTTATTAGGACCGCCAGGATTGATAAATTCTTTTATAAATCCGCTGTAGGGGAGTAAGAGTGATAGAGATAGCGCGCGATCGCATGCGTGCCGTTTCGGACTTACTGTTTGTTGGTTCGGGCACTCGCCACAGCACAACGGAGGCAGATACTTTTTCAAGATAATAGATTCTCGCCTTGTGCATTGGGAATGTTGCCATTAATCCTGAGTTGAGCTTCGACCGTCCACAAGATGCAAGGATGTACAGTCGATCATGCAGTCATTTATCTAGGCTCGCGACTGTTTACTGCTGGACAAACTTATGTAGTACTTAGTCGGTTAAGATCTTTAGACGGGATTCGTATTGAAGAACTTGATTGCTCTATGTTAACAGGAAAAATACCATGCAACAGTGAAGCTTTAAATGAAATGATCAGATTACGAAATGATTCGTAAGACATTTCAATACCACATGTTCACAAAAAACTAACTGATAAATCGACCTAAAAAATGAAAAATAAATAATAGTTTAAAAAAACACGCTTTTATAGCTTACCCAACTAAAAAGTAGAAAATACTGTTTATTTACAAAGAGTCTATATTACAGCAGCAGATGGTCGAACAATCAACCATAATTATTAATGTACCACAATTACTGTTTGGTAAAATATGGTTTGAATGATTCTTATTCACATGTGTACCTCTTATCTTTACTAGCTGTGAAAAAAATGCGTGATTGCGTGCATGTTGTTAAGTTAAATCATTGTTGATTGCATACGTAAAATAACTAGATATTCGTGACTGTTCCCAGTGCTCAGGTGTGGAAACGTAGAGATTGGTGGTCAGTGTTCTAACATGATTACTGGAAAATGTTTTTATTTAATAACTATTTATATACCAACACTTTATAAATTAGTATGAAAGCAGATCATTCATGTTTTCCCACATTATCGTTCGTTAAGTATATAACTACCCTACCTTTATTCAATGTTACACTTGAAACTTCCTATAATGAAGGTAATCGCCAATTTTAAAGTTGACGATACATAAATAGTGAATAATAGTTAGATTTGAAACATGCTCCAATAAAAACAAGTTATGCATATTCGGAAACAGTGAAGACTCATGCGTCGGTTATACTACTTGAAGGTGCGAACTCAAAAATGTTACGATTAAAACAGAGATTTGATCGAAATCAAGTAATTGGGTGCGACCGATGGTGTAGCGCTTGTATGCTGAATAGCAGTACCCTTGGAAAAGCTTTGACAGGTGGCAACATTAATCACAATAATCTGACATCCAACTGAAAGCTGCTGTCAAATTGACAAAATCCCATGGTTATTGCTAATCAGCATAAAAGCGCTGCAACCCTTTAGGATAACTTATGGTAGTGCCACATAATTGGTAACCCAGAAGCTGCCCTCTGGCAAATTCCCCAGTACAATGTTCAGCCTCCGACACATAAGGAATCGGCAAAGGTGCTTCGCCGCACCGCCGTTTACAGCGTCAAGCGGCAGTAAATCGACGCACACTCCGTGTAGGTTCTTTCTAACAATGAATTTCCGATATTCCCGAAGGGTTAATATAAAGGAGACCAGGTCAAAGCAGCTCATAGCAAGGCAACATCATATCATCCATTTGTAGTATGCCAGCGATATACTTGTATGATATATGCATCCATAGAAGGCAACCTTGGTTTCAGGATTTTAGAACAATTTATATTTCTGCTATGGCCTGAAATAACCAGAAAGTAGAAAAACGTCAAATAACATATTTTTGTTTTTTTTAGGTGTTGATCCTCCATGAACTTTTGTTCTACGTCAAAAATACTCCGCAACTCTGAACATTCAAAATATTAAGTTTGTTGACTCTCTCAGATTTTCTCTGTTCAATTTTGTTCCTGCGCCGTCAATGGTGAAAGCATTTAAGGTATTCTATCATTGTCACAGCGGTACCTTTCTGTCAAAGTTGTATTAGAATCCAAGAAGTAACTTCCGAACTGTAGGAATAGAGGACCTCGAAGCTTCTTCGCTGAAATTAGTGTTATACAGGGTGCGGCAGAGAGGATGGACGGTTTTAAAAAAATCATAAAATAGTTAATGTTTACTCTAAAACAAATTTATTGATGTAATCAGGTTCACAAGGAAATAGCATTTGAGACAGTCAAGTGTGGAAAATCACATCAGGCATGTGGTGGCCGAAATCATTGATGCAGTGCTGGAGGCGTTCTTGGAAGTTCGCGTAGACTCTCTCCAACATCGCTCTCTCATTTTTGGCGACTTCCATCCGAATTTCGCCCTTCAATTCGTCCAGAGTTCGGGGCTTGTTCGCGTATATTCTAGCCTTGAGGTGTCCCCATAAGAAAAAATCACTCATAAACAAAATGAGGTTCTCATTTTGATCGATCAGTGCTTCCATCTCACGTGCGAAGTTCATTCGTTGTGCATAATCTCCATGTTGTAACTATTGCACAATGACCAATTTGTAGGGGTGAAAGCGGAGATCCATATGCAAAATTCGCCTTACCGAACGATCACTAAGGCGAAGTGCAGCAGCATGTTTTCGGGCAGATCGAGTCGGACTGCGAAGAAAGACCTGTCGAACGCGTTCAACATTTTCAGGAGTTCGAACTGTTCGCGGCGCTCCTCTTGGTCTTCTGTTGATGAGTTCACCACGCCTGCGAAGTGATTCAACCCAACGAATGATGGTGTTTCGAGATGGAACAGCTCTATTCCGATGAATGTTGAAGTAGCGACGAAACTCACGCTGTACGACGATGACTGACTCATTATTTCGGACGAAACAATCATAGGCGAAAACGCGGTGCTCCACCGTCCAAGGCTCCATAACGACAACTGGTAAAATAATGCTAGGATCTCAGATCTCACGAGTCAAACGGCACCCTCCCCACCTCTCTCGTAGATGGAGGCGGAGAGTACTACCTATCCCAAAAACGTCAGTCCTCTCTGCCGCACCCTGTATTACAGAACCATATACATACTCGTACAGAACCTGTTTGATTCATAATATCATCAAGCACTTGAACGATGAACAATACACACTCCGTCCCTGTATCAGTGTGTCTGTCGCTGCTTTTGGCTGAAGCCAGTGTTGCCAATCGGCGGATTAAGTTCCGATTTGAGGAACTTTTTGAATCGTGGAGTAACTTTTTTGGAACCTAAATTTTAGAGGAGCTTGTCTTAGCTTTTTGGAAAAAACGGTTTATTTTCGGAATTTTAAAAAAACCTTAAAACATTTTCTAATATTTGTTGAAAGAAATACCGGCAACACCGTAAAGATACCCTGACAAGGAACAGTTTCGATTTGAAACTAAAACAGTTCAACACTTCAGAATTCTCCCTGTTTCACTTTGTGTAAGGTTACACGACTGAGGTAGATAATACTTTGGTCAGCTGGCTGCCTTGACATCAATAAACTCGTGGCAATTTTATTAAATAGTAAAAAATAAAAAACCGATTCTCCCATCAGTCACACTACGACATCGTTTTCCTGTTCGTCTAATTATGCGAGCAGAAGTTTTCGTTTCAACTAGTTGTGTGCGTCACTTATCTGACAAATATTACCCAGATTGATTCTACTGGCCCTATACTTGGGTAGAGTGTCCACTCTTTATCCATGCGCCATACAGCTGAAGGAGACCCCAAGCGGTCAGTGGCGTCTGTGTGAACACACAGATCCAGAAAAAGTATCGAACAAATTGTCTCCGTCAAGAAAGCCTGCTTGGATTGCCGATAACGCAATTTGTGGCACCTTTCTGATACGAATCAATAGGCGCACTCTTGTAGTATATGTAATATCATCCATAGTGAGGACCCTAGTACACAATTCGCATCATACGCATTGGATTGAAATGCGCTAATTAATTCGTATAAACAATCCGAATATGACTGCTTGAATGGGCGACTTTTCGAATGGGTGGCTAGGTGAATGTATTTGCTTCACGGCAAAATCAGTACTAATATTATAAATGAGAAGTGCGGATATGCCACGCAGGCTGCGAGATGCTTCACGTATTATTGTGATTCTGGTTTCACATCTAGGCTTGGTCTCTTGTCTCTGGACGAACAAACGAAAGCATTGCAAATTGCAACTATCCTCTATATCTATACCGAAGGTACGGTCTGTCGAAATAAGACAGCGCAAAGCACTATCTATGACACCATAATCGACCACTGCGAAAAGCGCGTAACTGCTAGTATTTCGAACTGTTAGGAATCTCAGTTCCCGCTTAATAGCCCAGTCACCACGTGACCGTTAGATAGCTGACGATTCTGGCTGTAAAGTAGATGTGGTCGATTGCTAACCAGAGGTTAACTCTCAAGGAGCTTTTTTCAGTATCAAGTCAGACGTAAAACGTTGGTTAACTTTATACCAAAGGGACAACTATGCATTAACCAGAAAGCAATGTTTAACCTAAACCCTGTATCACTAGAATCCATCACCTTTTGACGTCTATTGAGGTGAACATCTGATCAGCAAGTGACATTTTTGTATTAGTCTGTAACGTTTGCAATAATGGATCGGGTGTAAATCTAGTAAAACTTGTTTGTTTTCAAATTACGACTTAATGTAAACAAGGCTTAGATTTTGATACTGGTTAGGTAATGTACTCAAGTACAACGCCATATGACTTCCAAAATGAACATACGTACACATACTGTGCACCCAGTATTTTGATAAAAAAGCACGCCATTGTGTTATCGGTTTCACATGGACGCTGCCTCGCTATCAAAGGTTACCGAATAACAGTTGTTGTCACATCTATTAATCCTTATCCTCTTTACACAACATAATTTAATTCAACCATAGCTGCATCATCGGAAGTATCGAAAGCATCACAAGCGGCCATCGATAGGTTTTCATGACAGTGCGGATCCACACTAAGGGCAAATCGAGAAAAAGGGCTAGGAAAAAGTTGCTGGCAAGAAAGAAATGCCCGAGAAGCAAACCAGGGCCCCACTGGTGTTCATATCCGAAGTAGCGCCCAGTACGGAGAGTCTCAATGGAGACGCCTTTGACTTTGAGGCTAATAGATTACCGAACTTTCCAGAGTAAGTCGAGAACAGCATGAACGCGTGTGAATTGCACAATATAAGGATGAGTCATAAGTGCCAATACAAAAATGAGTCAAGGCGACTGACTTTGTACTTCCAACAGATAAGTCGATACGCAACATTCTAAGTGTTAGTCACGTTAAGTGAAGTATCAAATGCATAATTTTTACATGTGTAGTAGCTGAAGTAGATCTGACAACGCCTAAACGTAGAAACCAGGGTTACTGATTTTGTAGCTTTCGTGAGTACACGGCGAGAAATGACCAGAAACTCAGAGAACATGGGAAGACGACCTTTCGTTCTAAAATTTTTCCGCATTTTTACTTATTACTTCGCTGCCACTGAATCAGTTTTTAAAAGCTACATTTCATCAAAATTCGAGCATTACAAGTTGTAGATGTGTCAACGATTGCCGAGCAGACAATAGATGACACACGGACAGACCGACGGAAATTTATCACATCAACAATGTTAGTCTGTCAGCCATTATGCAGTAGGAAATTTTTGAGGATATGTACAGTACCGGCCAGTGAAGAGAAAGGGAAAACTATAAGTTTGTATACTTTTCGGCTATCAATATTTTAAATTTCCAAGCTTTATTTTTTGACTTTTCTGGCCATTCAAAGGTGTGGTAAAAAACGAGTTCAAATCTCGTTTTATGTCTGAGGAATGAACTCCAACCACGTTTTTCTAGAATCGCGAGTCTACCATTTTCTGGCAAAGTAAAAACGATATGTGGAATATTTTAAGGTATGTGCACAGAATTTGAGCAAAATTAAGTTATTGCGTGGGAAGTACTGTGTCAATCGGCTTGATTCAATCTTTTTATAAACATCCTTTTTCTGTGAAATTCTCCAAACTAATTTTCTGGATATATTCAGCTCCCCATCAGACCTCCACATCAACCGCAAATTCCACCGGAAAGAATCGATCCTCTCCTCTGACATCAGCCTTTATGTGGAGAAAACTCAGCAGAAGATTCCTGATGGAGGCTGGGGCTGGCTGGTGGTCATAGCCTGCTTTGTAATCAACATGATCTCGGATGGAGTCAGCTTTACGTTTGGGCTACTATACGTTGAGTTTCTAAACGAGTTTAAGAGTTCCAAATCGGCTACCTCGTGGATTGGGAGTTTGTTTATGGCTCTTCCACTTATTGCTGGTAAGTTGAGGTTTTCAAATCAGAATTACCAACATAATGCTGTGATTAACAGAAAAAAACTATTTTTTATTTTACTACTAAATTGCAAAATCGACCAGCAAATCGTACATCCAGATGAGCTACTTATCGGAATTATGGAATTTTATTATCAGTTCATATACTTATTATAGATAATGAAAACATATCAACTATTCTCAAGACAAGATCTTTCGTAGATAATTTTTTTATAGTTATTGATTTAATTATTTTAAGGACAATCAAACATAAATACCTTTTCAGAAGAAATGTTGTGTTAATGTTGGTGGTAGAAAGTAAAAAATTTTGTTTGCTTAAAAATATGTTAGCATATCTTTTAGATAAAAGAAGAATGGATATTCTGGCACCCAAATCAATAGCAATAGGTGATACACATTTGTCAGATCTTTTCAAGTCATAAAACAAAGTAACGTGCGAACGCGTCCGTTCAGAGTTAAATGCTGTAGAACACATTGAATTTTGGGTGTTTTAGTGTAATACTAGATGTATAATAAAGCAAAGAACGGGTGTTTGAAGAAGTTCAGTATACAGAATATAAGCATCACATTTTGTCAGAAAAACAAACCAAAGATTCATTTGTATATCCTACATTCTTCCTAAAGCGAACCAAACCACGCTACGAACCGCGCCGCGCTAGTGTAGACGGTGAAAAGAACGCCGTCGCGAACCTGATTAGCGTTACAGCTCGCCGTTCGGTCCGATCCAGGCTCTGTCGATTTTTCAGCGCAACTTCAAAGAAATGATTAGCGACGAAGTTGCACATGTTCGGACAGGCATACCGGTGCGGCGAGCACCAATGTGTTATTTTGTAATGTACGAGTACTTAGAAGTAAAATAATTATTTTTCTTACTTGTATATTTTCCTTTAAAACTTCGATCAATGCCTCACAAACTTCTGGAATAATGTAGCTGATCGATTGCTTTGAAATTCGAAACACGTATTGCAAACTACTATCTGAATCACCGGTGGCTAAAAATGGCAGCTCTCCGTTTTGTATCTTGTTTTCGTATTTTTGATCCAATCAACGTGAGAAGATATTCAAAATCCGTCGGAGAAATCCTCGTAAAGTGTTTGTACTGTCCACTTACTTGTTGAAATTTCAATTCCGCTATCAAATTGTTGCAACCGTGTGCTGATCTATTGGTATATAACTGCGTTTGTTACCATCGTCTCGGACGTCGTCGTCGCTAGTTTTTGGATAATTAGTAGTAAATATAAATATAGGCAGCTGCTGCTACTGTTATATCCATTTCCGGCTACTTTTTGTCTTTCACTGAACGACAAACAACAAAATTGTATCGTCATTTTGTTGCGCGATGTGGTTGCACGACTTCGTTCGGTTTGTGGTGATGTTCGTTGCAATGTTGTTCGTCAAAATGTACGCGCTGCGGTTCGTCGCGTGGTTCGGTTCGCGGTGTTGTTAAATATCTGTACATGGCTTAACGTATAGAATGTCTCCCGAAGTCATTGAAATTATTCTACGTCGCCTTGTTTCCAAAATATAGTTGTCCAAAATATTCCCAGAAATTGCGTTTTTTATTAAATATCTCGGAAACTACTAGGTTATACATGGTTTAACGTTCACTTGTACTCGCTGGATATGGAATTTGTTTCACTAAATGCTATAAAAATTACTTAAGTTTGATCAGGTAGCAACTAGAAATATTACTATTTCATTGTATCACGTATAACAGAGCAGTGACGAGACATTAAACTCGGCCAAGCATCGCACGAAAAAGACCCTGTCATGAGAGATGTCGTTTCTGTTTATTTCTGTCGATTGAAGGTTCGATAAACACGGAAGTAGCTTATTCATCTGTCTAAATTTGATGGTATCTTCGGAGTACCATATGTAGTAGCTATTGGAATTTTTGATATTATGTGCTACCAATACTTATATACTATAATTTGATTCAATAAAAAATGTTAAATGCGGCAAGTGGCGAGTAGTTATACTGTCATTACCAGTTTACACCTGTCCACTGACCGTGACAGGGCGGTGGAGGCCACTCGGTCTAGTAAGCAGAACATTATGTAAACGTGAGGAAGATGAATGTATAAAAGTGGTGCCTGTAGTTTTAGTGTGACCCGCCAAAAACCGTGCAATCAACTATACCGAGCTGCATCACAAGTTCATGTTTTTTTTGGGAATTTTACATATAACTACAGCGTGTAACCCTTGGTTAGTACTCATGGGTTATCCGACCCTGTCTACTTTGAAAACAGTCTTTTCAAACAATAACCAATTTGCGACAATTGCTTAATAATCGTATATCCACTGTTGAGAAAGTAATTAAACCTGGATCATTTTACTACATAGTAACCTTTTTCATAAATGGTCTATTTTATTTCAAGATTCTTAATTGTTCAAAAAATATATTTATATTGTTTTATAGAAGGGTCAGGTTGACACTTGAATAGTGACCGTGTAAGATTTATTTTCATGCAATGTTAAAAGTGAAACAGAGATCTATCAACATCTTTAAAATAAAATCCTTCAGGGCAGATAGTGTTGTTATATATCACCAACATTAGTTTAATTGCCCCAATATATCTGTCATTTTGTAATTCAATACCCCTATCTTTTTTCAATTGTCCATTAGACGTGTTTATGAGAATCGGTATGAGAAGTGTTGTTGACTTCGTTCATATTTTGAACTCGGCTGGAAACTTATATTTATGTATTATTTCCCAAGCCACTCTCTGAGTCAGGTAGCAGTCAGCTGTTTCGCCTCTGTAGTCGTTACTTGCAATATGTACTTGAGTGGTAGGACATATACGTTCTAGAAATCTGCTACGATTAGACAACGAATAGGAATAATCGCATGGTATATTCTATCTCTTATTCTACCTGAAAAGACATTTTAAATGACATACACTGAAAACAAGAGAGAAGCGTATATAGGCACAAAGAGATATAAGATGGCTGGAGAGCGATGCTCATCGCAGCGTCGCCAATATGTTACACCAGTTCCTTGAATTAAGATGCATATCGAAAATATGCGTACTTTAATCATTACACCCAAATAATGGTTTTATTTTGAGCATACACATTTTTGAATTGTGAATTGTGTCGAATCTGTTTAGGATTGATTCCGACCACAAATTCTGAAACTTGGCATCTTTGGTTTGTTTGACAACACCGCATCTTGTACATTCCAAGGGCAAGGTGTCCACCTCCATGATCAGTTGAGCGATTTTGGTCAGTACCCGTCTAGATCTCGTAGGGGTATGTCGACCTGCTTCGAAATGGCTTTCACCTGCTGTCGGCAAATGTAACGATAACTCAGGATGTATTGATTTTATCACCATCGGTGGAAATCAAAGATAATTCTAAAAGAAATTAAAACACATTCTAACTAAAGCAAATTTCTTTCGAACACATTCATTATACAGACAAGCACTTATTTATAAAAACCAGTGAAAGCAATAATTATGATCCTACACGTTAAATGTCTAAACATTAACTGACACGCATAAACCCGTGCCCGTATTGCATAGTGCATCGTCATTGGTCAAAATGGATTTGGCGGGCTTTGATTGTAATATTGGCATGTAGTTAGCCCGTTTTAAAACTAAATGTAAACTTTCGGCTTGATAATAGACTTGTCTTAGCGGGTTTAGAAGTATAATTTTTATACAGGTATATTCCTAGGAACATTTCCTATAGAACTGCAGAAAGTATCATATTTGGAAAAAACTGGAGTTAGCGGGGTTTGATTGTATATGTCTCAATTATTGTTTTTGGTTAGGATAACAAAAGCCATGTGACCATTCTCATCTTTTTTCATTTTTCAGGGCCCTTGGGCAGTGCACTAGTGGACAAATACGGATGCAGATCGATGACAATAGCCGGAGGTCTAGTGTGCACCATAGGTCTAATACTCAGTTCCTATGCCCAAACGATAGGCATAATGTACCTAACGTTCGGCGTGATAGGAGGTACAGGAATGTGCCTATGCCTTGTCACGGCTGTTGTCTCGATAGCCTTTTGGTTCAAAGAGAAGAGAACAATTGCCTTAGGGCTTGCAGCAAGTGGTACTGGATTCGGTACTGCCGTATTTTCTCCACTAGCCACATGGTTGCTGTATGAGTATAGATGGAGAGGTACTCTGCTCATCACTGCAGGTATATTCTTCAACATGTGCCTGTGTGGAGTCCTGATGAGAGATCCCGATTGGATTAAGGAGGAAGAGTAAGGAGGCTTTATGGTCTAAGCAATTACTGCAATTTTGATAATGATACAAATCCGAGTTTTTTTCGCGCACCTAAGGCTTAGAATAACTCATGGTATACATACCGATGCGTTACGCAATTCAATTTAATTTTGGTATTCGACTATACTAGGCTTATATCGAGGGCATTTTATCATTCTTCAGATTTTGTATTGGTGAAATCACAGTTCATAAAGAACGGCAGTTGCTTGGACTAGAAGGAAAGAAAAAATATATTTTTAGTTTCTATGTATTGCATTTTTAGGGAAAAAGAACGAAAATTGAAAAAGAAGGAATCCATGACCTCCTTAGCATCCGAAAAGATCGAGGAGTTGAAGACTACTTTACAAGAAGGTGGCGATGCTCAGTACTTATTAGAAAATGTAGATACCTGCATGGATTTGTCAGAAAAAAGTAGATTCACATCTGTTATAAACCTGCCCACATTTCTAAAAGAAAATGAAACGGTATTATACCATTTTTTCATATACAGTAATACCCCGGACTTACGCGATAGGTGGGTCCGAACGGTTGCCGTGTAAGTCGAATTCGCGTAAGTCGGGGTTCAATGTTGCATATAAATATGTACATATAAAGTTTGTTTAATCGGGACCAGAGTTTAAAGAAAACAATAATTTAGAAGAAAAATGTTTAATAAAGTGTAGGATAATAAAAAAAATTACATTGTTATGAATAAAGTAAGCTAAACCGAAGTTATTTTGATGTCGAAGGCTTTATATATTCTAACAATGTTGCCTGACGAGTTAAATTTTTCTTCTTTTCACGTAAAATTTCCTCGTAGCATACCAGTAATTTTTTTATCCCTCGTTTTGTAGTAGACACGCGTTCTTCATTAGAATCAATTTTTTCTAAAATTTGTAACCCCTTTTCAATTGAATTGAGTCCTTCTGTTAAGTTTGCAATTGTCATTTGATTTACCGATTCAACTGGGTCTAGCGAATCAGTTTGTTCAATGTCTTGCTCATACTTACGCATTTCTATAACCTCGTCAATTGTTAGCTCTTGATTGTGTGAATCTAGCAATTCTTGAACGTCATCATTATCGACCTCTAAATTTAATTGCTTGGCGATATCGACCACTTCTTCTATTATGCTATCGATTTGTTCAGGATCTGAAATGGTTTCTCCTTGAGTTTCAGAGGTGAAAAAAAATGGACACAGTTTTTTCCAGACACCATTGAGAGTTTTTTGTGAAACCTCATTCCAAGATTGTCCAATAATTCTTACAGCATCTAAAACATTGAATTGCTTCCAAAAGTCTTTAACAGAAAGCTCATTGTTTTGTCTCATAGCTTCATGTAGATGTGCAAATGACCGCCTTGTGTAGTAAGCTTTAAATGTTTTAATGACTCCCTGGTCCATTGGTTGAAGCAAGCTGGTAGTGTTTGGTGGCAAAAATACAACTTCCACACGTGGATCGAAATTAATTAGAGTTGCGGGAGGATGACCTGGTGCATTGTCAATTAGTAGCATCACTTTAAATGGGATTTCTTTTAATCGGCAGTAACGTTCGACTTCAGGAATAAAATGATGGCCAAACCAGTCTTCAAAAAGAGAAGCTGTCACCCAAGCTTTCGCATTAGACTTCCAAATGACAGGCAAACCAGCTTTGGATTTATTTTTTAAGGCCCTTGGATTTTCTGAGCGATAAACTAAGAGAGGTTTTAATTTACAATCTCCAGCTGCATTCGCACCAACCATCACTGTTAATCGATCCTTGGCGGCTTTAAAACCTGGAAAAGTTTTCTCTTCACGCGCAATAAAAGTTCTTTTAGGCATTTTGTTCCAAAAAAGACCTGTTTCATCTACGTTGAAAATAGTTTGGCTAGTGTAGCCACCTTCATCTATCATTGTTTTGAGTTTTTCTGGATAGAGAGATGCAGCTTCTTTATCAGCGCTTGCCGCTTCTCCACTCTCTGCGATGCTATGCCAATTACAACGACTCTTAAATCGGCTGAACCAGCCGTTACTAGCTTTAAACACTTCATTTTCAGCCGCCTCCCCAGCTTCTTCTTTTAGTTTTTCAAAAATCTGCTTTGCTTGAAAGCACACTGTATTTTGATCAACAGGACAATTTTTCACTCTTACTTGATTATCACACCATGACTGTAGCAATGTTTCCATCTGTGCGATAATACCGTGACGCTTACGGATGATACTTGAATTCAAAGATTGAGAGTCTTTCACAGCGTTCATAATTTTTTCTTTACCTTTTACAACCGTTCGGACTGTTGATTCCGGAAGGTCAAATTTCTTCGCCAATTCACAAATTTTCATTTTTGCTTCAAAGTCTTTAATTATATTCAGTTTACACTCCAAAGACAGTGTTTTTCTTTTCTTGTTAGGCTCAAATGACTCATTTTTTGTTCTTTTAGACGACATAATTAGAGATTATAAGTAAAACGCACTGCGCACGTAAAACAATTGCACGCGAAACACGTTTAAACCTGATGCAAATTGAACACTGAGTGGGCGGAGCGAGAGAGCCGATGCGCGCGCGGAGCGAGAGAGCCGATGCGCGCGCGGAGCGAGAGAGCCGATGCGCGCGCGGAGCGAGAGAGCCGATGCGCGCTGCGCGCGGCAATCAAAATGAAAAACCGCGTATCTCCGAATTCGCGTAAAACGGGGTAGCGTAAGTCGGGGTATTACTGTACATTTTGCTATAAATAAAACTTTTAGGTTCCCTTGGAGTCATTAAAATTGCTTAGTGAGAATAAATCGCTATACAATGTGATCCTAGAGAATTATCCTAACTTATTAGTATATAAAAGTAACTCTGATAAAGATCTGGATAGGCTGCCACCCGAACACGTGGCACCATCTAGAATTCCTCTGAAATTTTCCATGAAAGTGAAAAAGACCGAAGAAGCAAAGACCGTTAATATAGAAGATTCGAACACTGATACGGTCAAAAAGAGTAAAGTTCCGCTATTCAGAAGCATTTCTTGCAGAGCCAAAAATCAACCAACTATCCCACACAGATATTTCAAGAATATCCGATTCAGGAGGAACTCTATAGGATATAGAGGCGCAATGTTGAATATTCACAAGTACAAAGTGAAAGCCTCTAGCTGTCCAGATTTATTCAAGAACTCAATCGCATCTTTTGGTAGCAAGGATGATGAGGTACTGTATTTTGCTAAAATCTTCAACAGACGTCCAGAATAAGATAATGGTACACTGTTCAATTTAAGTTGTATTGGCAAAAAGACTTTAAAGCAGTTTACTGTTAACAATTTCCTACCGTAGAAACTAACTTTTCAATAATTTTTGGCAAATTTCGAAGAGCCACATGATTTGATGACTTCTCTTGGTGAGGTGGAGTGATATGTGTGCAATAGTTTATTGTTTATGTTTCAGACATGGTATGAAGAGTTCATCGATATCCTGAAGGACCTCACAAATTTTTCACTATTTTTAGATCTACATTTTTTCTTACTATCCTTTTCTACAATTATACTGTTCGTATGGTTTGTTGTGCCTTACTTCTACTTAGCAGATCACATGGTGAAGTCAGGATATACTGAATCCGAAGCATCGTTTGCCATTTCTTTGATCGGGATCACAAACACTGTGGGCATGGTAATGATGTCATTGTCTTTGCTTCTGATTGAACCATCATATAGAGTTACAAATGAAAGAGAGCGGCATAAATCATAAGCTCGCACATTTGAGCGACGCATGTACGCTAATCTGTTTGATTTTATTACTTAATTGTGGTTTTAAAGTTTATGCGTAAAATTATTTTGCCTTTTAATCGCACAGCCTGATGATGGTTTAGCCTAATGAGAAATGGCATTCCAAGCAGCAAAAATAAAATCAAATAATTTTTGTAGGTACTTCTAGGATGGGCAGGTGACAGAATAAACGTAGCAAAAACGTACGCGGTCTGTCTGATTCTATGTGGTGTAAGCGTGGGTGCCATTTTGTTTTTCACCTTCAACTACTACATGCTGCTAATCAGTAGCGGCTGCTTCGGTATCTTCTTCGCCAGCTGTCTAACGTTGACACCCTCTTTGTTAGCCGAACTTGTGCCTATGGATGATTTCACCATGGGTTATGGATTGGTATTGCTGTGTCAAGGCATAGGGAATCTCACTGGACCACCTCTAGCTGGTAATCCAAAATATTCAATAACTAACTAAAAAAAATGAAGCAAATGTCACACATCTACATTGAGTTTGATATTGAGATATTCTACTATAGTGCACCTAGGCTGCACACTGGCAATTTTAGCATAATGATTACCAGTTTCTGACTCGACAAAAGTTGTCACATCGTGTCTACAGGTGACTCTGATGTGAGAATATTTTTAACTTTCAATATATAAAAGAGGACGCTGACTGACTGACATGTCGATACAGAGCTGAAACCGCTAAACATAGAAACTTGCAGCGATCTCCTTCATAAAACATAAGTTATCACTAACGAGGGGTTTTCGGAAATTCATCCCCTAAGGGAGTGAAGTAGGCGGTGGAGGGTTATACGAAACTGTTTATTCTTTCAATGGATTTACTTGAAACAAATATTCTAAAATACACATAAATAGGTTCTTCAAGATCTTTGGAAATCCATTCCCTAAAGCTTTCAATGGATTTACTTGAAACAAATATTATAAAACACACATAAATAGGTTCTTCAAGATCTTTCAAAATCCATTCCCTAAAGGAGTACAAAATCTCTATATAATACATATAAAAGAGGACGCTGACTCCACTCACTGAATGACATATCAACACAAAGCTAAAATCGCTGAAGGTAGATCCTTGAAATTTTGCAGTGGTTCTTCATGAAGCCTAAGTAAGCACTGAGAAGAAATCCTTGAAAATGCGTCCTTTACGGAGATGACAGAGAGGGTGGGAGTTTGTATGAAACTTTATATTCCTACAATGAATTTTCGTGGAACTTTGTACAGATACGCTACAATACATGGTATAAAAAATACGTTAATCCATATTTTTGAAAATTCATCCCGCAAAGGACTGAAATAGGGGTTTGGAAGCTTGTACTCAACGTTTTATTTTTTCAATAGACCTGCATGAAACTTTGTACAATTGATCAACAACACACATTATCCGATACCTCCGCATAATAGGCGGTCTGTGCCGCCCTGTGCACTCAGCTCGATCAGCTACGCGCTGCCAGAATACATCCGCTCACCTCTGGTCAGCTGCAATCAAACCTCTCAGCTACAAATACAGCAGTGTTAATCCTTGAAATTCCCACAGGTCACTCAGGTTACGCGCGACTGCGGTCGTTATAAATGTCCACGCATCCGCGAGAATATTCAAATTTTTGTTGTATAATACTCAGATGTAATATCACTAGAAATTGCGGCATGTTTCTTTTCAATCACCTTAAGTTGTCATTAAAGCTGCAATCCAGTTCCAACATAAACTAAAACATAACAGTGATATTGACATTGTTGCTCTACAACAGGTGGGCTACCGTACCTTGGTTTTGGATTGAATCTGATAATCCTAAATTTTATGAATATTTACCAATAAACTCTTGTTTCCAGGTTTACTATATGATATGACAGAATCCTGGAACCAATCCTTCTACCAAGCTGCCTTTTGGATAATAATATCAGGAGTTTTGATTGGAATTATTCCCTACACGGAAAACGTAAAAATACTGAGGCTTCATCAGTGATTTCGTACTTACTTTTTATAGAATCAAATGTTTTTATAAACAGTATTAATAAATATATATTTGTTACTAGTCTCTTGTTTAATATCCTAAGTTTGAATAAAATGGAGCACCCTAACATAGGTATTTGTCTTTTGATCTCTCACCCCGTCATTCAGTCACGTCATGCTTGAATTAATTGTATTTGCATGACGTTTTAATAAAGCATACTTCGATCTTTATTGATTTTAAGTAGAAATAATCCGGAAGATAAGTGTATGTAAAATTATCAAGACGAAACCAAATTGTTTAGTGAAACGAGCGTTTCATCTAACAAGGTTGATGATAGTAATTATTTATTCTTTTCGGATGATACCACTCTATTTATTTAGAATATAGGTTGCACATATTTACAATGACTTTGTGATATTGAATTAAAATAGGTGAAAAGATGAAAATTAATCTATACGTCATTGGTACACATTATGAGTTTCCCTTAGGTTTTTACGTCTAAAGCACAATGATGAATTTGCTGAGTCCACCGTGAAATAACAAAATAAGTTGAAGCTAGCATCACATTCCGATTAACAAACAGGATTTGTTAAGAAGTCGAGCAGTCAGACTTGAGGCATTCAAGATTGCTGAAGACGTACGGTTGATGTAGGTATTGGAGAAAATGCTGGACTGTCTATATCTAGCGCACCTAGTTGCAATACTCGTAGAAGCATTGCTGTATTTAACACCAATTGTCCTAATGATCAAAGGATGACTGAGTCAGGATTAATTCATCTTTTATCAACCCAAACAGAGGCCATATTGCCATCTTCGTCCGTAAATTTAGCGTGGAGTATCCAAATCCTCTATAAATGTGAAAGTGTCAGCAGATCGCTAGGATGCCGGGCAATTCTGGTTCACATACGAACAAACGTGGGACCTAGTGAGAGGGTTATCAAACCCAGAGCAAAACTTCCACTTCCTCTTGGGTGATACGATGTTCCTCAGGATATACAAGTGCCAAGAGGACGAATTACTATCTGGTCGGTTGATCAAGCGACTATTAAAGTAATAAGTGCTTCTAGCTTAACTTCAGGACTCGCTTTTGAGTATAGCAAGGCTTTAAATAGTGTGGCTGCCTTGGCGCGTGTGGTACTTCGTAATGATATGACAGTTTCGCAGGGGCAAGAACTAGTAGGAGATTCGTGGGCATTGAATCAGCTCTCGAACTGCAAACAGAATCAGGGGTAAACGGAGGAGTGGATTAAGAATCAACTCTTCGCAGTGAAAAAATATCCGCGCTTATCTCTGCCAGACAAATAGTGGGCCCTACGACCATGGCGGAACGTTTCCATTACCTTTAGATAGGAATAATTCATTGAAAAATACAAATTATTGCGTATATGACTACAGTTGCCCATTCCGGCACTATCAATCTCATCAATTGTTCAACTCTATAAAAAATAACGTAGGTATTTGACAAGACTCATTCTTGTTTTAATATAGCCCCCTTTTTAACGTGGATTAACGGAAGCCTGTATAGTTGGGCACAATATTGCTGTTATACGACATATTGTGAAGATGAGTCTTAAAGTTGAACCAGGTAGAATATTCTAATGAGTAGTTAAACATCACATTACGATTTTAAAGAGTACCAACAATCCCGAAAATGATTGGCTGGTTTCGAGTTCTCAAATCGTTCTAAGCGCCATCTGCCGACAAACATTATTATACACGTAAACTTGAACATAAGCTAGCTATTTAACTCGTATTCAGTACCTTTTTATAGCTTTAAGAGCTTATCGAATTTTTGTGCAGACCAATCGAAGTGTTATAGTACCTATGCGTATTTATTTGTAATAAAGCGAGTTCCTATGCTTGTGGGTACATATTATGTTTACTCTAAATAATGGTTTCCATTCACAGTGATCTAACAATAATATCTTCTTACAGGCTACCAATTAATTCGTATTTATGATGCGAACTACCTTAAACTCAGCCTGAAATCATCAAGAACCCAGAAGAATAGCAGTTTTATCTCTCTGCAAGTCCATCCCTTTTTGTACTTGATGATCGACAACGGGATACCCCACCACTCAAACATCAAACTATCATTACAGCTCTTCTCGAAAGATCCAAAAAGAAGACTACAAGGCTGGTCTAAACGGTGGATGCAGACTAACAAGAAGTATATTCTAGATTTGATACCTGTCAATTGAACATTTCAAAAAGCTTAGCTCAATTTTATTTTATTGTTTGGTTTGCTCTCAAAGAAGACTGAGAAAGACAGATCAAATTCACACGTTGGATGCAGAGTTTGAAGAATATTTCTGTTTACCATTTACAACTAAAAGAAGACGTACAGAACCAATTCAAGTCATATAGCATATTGCCATTCTTAGGAGATTCCGCGTTGGTCGATTTAGATAAGGTTTCTAGAAGGTTTTGTTTGTTTTTATGATGGAGGAAGATAAGACAACAAAGAAAGCACCCATTGTGACTTTGGCGGCTGTGGCTCCATCTTTAGACTCCAGCCCCATGATTACGCCGAAAAAAGATGAGACGATCGTTGCTGTGGAGAAGAACGGAGTAAAATTCAACACTTCGCCTACTGGTAGCTCTTCTAGTTCAGGGTGGGTGTAACAAGTATCATATGTAAAAGGAATTACCGTATCTAGCAACACTGGCTTGGTGCCTGTCCCTCTTATGTGTGGAGGTATTTCTGTAAAGCGGGGAGAGGGGATCACAAACAGAATTTTGACTCCGGGTTGCCATGTGAGACTCGTTAAAATACCTGAGTTGTGTAATAAATAACTGACTGATTCATTTCTCCCATATTATTAAAATAAAACAAAATAGATCTAATTTTTTTATCTTAACCTTTAGTTGAAATCTTGCAGCTATGTATGAAAAATATCACATCAATGCCCGCACTAGAAACTGTACAATCCCGAGCCATCGCGATTACGTTTTCCTTCACATTTCAGTAGACTTCAAGAGGAATAGTTTGAATATCTTCAGCTGCTCTATAGTGCTTAATTTTGTTGACATCATCACAGAAAGACGCATGAGACCGCTGAATCTGGTAATCTTGGGGGCCAGATGACGTCATCTAATGATGAGATCGAACGGTATGGAATAATTCTTCGCAAAACATTCATCGCTTTTCCAGTTTGATTGGTTGCTTCATCCTACTGGATCTACATTTCCGACAAGTTGTCGAATTTTGGGAGCCACAAAGGTTTGCATCAAACCGCGCTAGTTTTGGACAGTGACAGTAACAGAATTGTCTGCAACGTTCTCAAAAAGTAATGTCTGATGACTCGCTGCAAAAGGGTTCATGTGTGTGAGGCATTCATATATATTTATAACCCACTTTCATTGAAAGGTTAAGATACAAAATTGTATTTCGTTTAATTTTAAATATGTAGAAGAAATAAATTGGCCAACTAGACAGGATCGGCAAAGAATCATTCAATTTGTACGAGCGAGATAGAGAGAGTAGTTAAAGCGAGAGCTCGAATGAAATGACTACAGAAATATAAATAATGCCTGGGAATACTACAAGCAGTTGGACGGTATTGGTGCTGAGCTATAGAGTCATTGCGATTAACTCGACTGAGTTACTTTAAAGCAGCTCTTGTTATTGATGACGCTTCATTCGCGCTCTCGCTCTATCATAGTATTCTTCTCTCTCATTAAATACGGGACCTAACTGATTCTCTATCGATCTTGTATAGTTTTCTATAATACTTACTTTATTTCAGGTCATCCAGTTCTGATGACGATGGCCCAGACGTACCCGAAGGAGGCTGGGGTTGGGTTGTAGTTTTTGCCTCATTTGTCTTGTCTATGATAGCAGATGGAATTAGTTTTTCGTTTGGTTTGCTTTACGTTAAGTTCTTAGAAGAATTCAAAGCATCCAGTTCAGTAACATCATGGATTGGTAGTCTCTTCATGGCGGTACCACTTCTCTCCGGTCCTATTATGAGTGCTTTAGTTGACAAGTACGGTGAGTATGGTGCACATATACTATGAAGACGAACAGCGTAAATGGACAATCCAATAAGAAATCCGAATTTTATGTTCTCCAAATCGTAGTTTTGTGATATAATTTTTAATGTTCGATGAAATGTGTATCACGAAAAATAATATCACTCATTACCATGGCTAAAAGCTTTGAATGTTTTGAAAATCGGTTCATTTCCTGCGGAGTTATGACTGAAAACAAAAAATTGTATATCCCCAAGCATCATTCTCCAATGTTGCCGAGTTTCTGATAATTTTTGGACGTAGTCAAAAAAATTTAGAAGGGTATAAGATTTTTAAAAATAATACAAACTATGTTTCGTGTTTTTCAGCTTTATGGTCACTTAAAAAAATGTAGTAATTAAAATATTTCAACATGAGACATTTTACGTATTTCACTTGAACTTATTTTTTACATCCGTGTACTTATATTAGTACACATTCAGAAATTTAAAGAGTTCATAATGTCTCATTTCAATTTGTGGAAATTTATTTGATAAGCTACTTAAGCAAATTTTAGAAATACCTTTTCTAAAACATGATTCGATAGCGTCTATAAAATGTAGTGTTGCTTCTAGTAAATAATTTTGTCTTCTACAGGATTAAGATTTTTTATCCAATACGATTTTCACGTGGAATTCCAATGATCTAAACATTGCAAGCCTTTCTTTTGAACATTTTCCTATACAAGACAAAAACTGATTGTAGGCTGCAGGTCCATGACAGTAATAGGTGGTCTAGTATCTGCCTTAGGATTCGTAATCAGTTCAAAAGTCAATACCATAGGATTGATGTACCTGACATTCGGTACATTAGCTGGTCTAGGCCTTGGTCTGGTGTACGTAACAGCCGTTGTCTCAATTGCCTTTTGGTTTGATAAAAAAAGAACCCTAGCGGTGGGCCTGAGTGCCTCAGGAACTGGCATAGGAACATTCGTTTTCTCACCTTTAACGAACATGCTACTCTACGAGTATGGATGGAGGGGCACCACACTCATTTTGGGTGGGTTGTTCTTACATATGTGCATCTGTGGAGTACTGATGAAAGACCCTGATTGGATTATCGAACAAAATAAGTAAGTGGTAAATCTTTTTTTTTAATTTACCTGTAGCGGGTTTTACAGAATGGTGTAGTTGTTAGGAATATTAAAGAGTTAAGATATGGAAAAAGCTCATATAAACATAGTGCACCTCGAAAAAAGATCGAGATATGTTAGCAGAAACCACATTAATATTTTCAAAGTTGTTTTCTAAAGCACTTTGAATGTAAGTGGTTATTGCAAGACAAATGTAACGGTAGCTTCAATCCACTTGATTTTAACTGAAAACTATATCTTGGGATTTTCCGTTCAGAAGCACCGTTATCAAAATGAAAATCATTTTGTTTCACTTCTATCCCGATAAATCGCCATCAATGATGAATGTCTTTTGAAATTGTATAGAAATAATGTTATTATGTCAGTTTGACAACTAAACTTTATATTACAAATTATTTGGAAACAAGTGAGAAATGTCTAATGTTGAGTATAACTCGTTATGTAGCCGTCCTTGAATATCTCTACAATCAGGATAATATTGAAAACCCGTTATTAAAGCTATCAGAAGGAAATTGGTAAATGGGCTAGTCCAAACCGCCTACATCTAATTTATTTGAGGTTGTCAGTCTGACAGCAGGCAACTGGATATTATAGGTCATGAAAGGTGATTTACATTTTAGTAAGGATAAATTAATATAACGCTAATAAACGAATATAGTTGCGTACGGTTTGCAAGTGAAGATGTCCAAACAGAACCGAGACTTTCAGATCAGTAAATGCCTGGCTCAGTTCAGAGATCAAAAAGAACACCTGAATTAACCTTCATCAGTACACAACGTAAAAAAAAATTACATTTTTTCATTATCTTGGGGATACACTCAAGACTACTAGGCATTTTTATAGTATGCTGACACGGATTGCATCTAGAAAATGATTGTAAGCAAAGTTAAAAACCTCGCAATTTGAATTCGGTGGATTTTGCAGATAAACAAATTAAACTTGACCTAAAAGCGACAGGCAGTGATAAATCTCACTTAGTTATACCCTATTCCACAAGTATCCATCACGGTAGAATGTCAGCTGATTATACAGTACTATCTCAAAATTCCCCATATCGACACACGATACATAATTCTGACGGAACCGTCAACGCCAGGTAGACAGAATCTAATTTTGTTTTGGTTTTTTGTACGCTACATATTCATTTTGTACTTGCTAACAGCTCTTTTATTCAGAAAAGTTCATTTGCATACAAAAAACAAAACGCTATAAACAGGTTTTACTAGATTTACACCCGATTCATAATTGCCAACGTTGCAGACTAACACAAAAATGTCACTTGCTGATCAGCTGTTCACCTCAGTAGACGTCAAAGCGTGATGGATGGGTATAAGGTCATTTAAACTGAGTTTTGGTGTAAAGAACGTGCAATAAACTGAGCTAACTGAAGTGGCATAATATACTGCTATTTGCCCATACATCAATCTGTTTAACGTTAATAAAAGAAAACGACACTTCGTTTGCAAAAAGCAGTGGCGTACAATTTTTCGCTAAACTTAAACGTATCATGCAAATGAGTCATTTCTGGACCCACGTCTATATATATATATGAACTCTTTTTTCGTATTTTTACGTGTTAGAACTGCCACCAAATTATCCTAACAACATTGTGTAATACCCTGTATATCTAATAAGTGATTTTTCAGGCAAAATGCAAAATTATCAAAATCAAGTAAATCCAGTAAGACTAGCTTAGTATCACTATCATCCAACGCAGCCACATCCATCGATATAAACGAACTTAGAGACTTATTAAAAAGTGGAAAAGATGCCGAGTTCCTCTTACAGAACTTAGAAACGTCAATGGAACATGCGGGCACGGACAAACAGAGGAACGTACATAATTCATTACTCAACTTGCCGACGTTTATCAAACAAAACGAAAAGGTAAGGGTGTGTAAGACGGCGTATTTCTCAAAGATACATATACTTACCTACCAAAATACCAAGAGTTCGACGACATTTTGAGTGCCATATGGTCTGCTGTCGGTCACACTTCAAACCAAAATCACTAGAATTATACATCAGGCCGCGGTTATACTCCGAAGTGGCATGTGCAGCGCGTGTCAGGTGGAGTGTGGTAGGCATTAGGTAAAACGCAGCTTATATCTGTTTTGCATTAGTTTTCATGTACCTGTTTGTACCCATAATAATAATAACTTTTGTTCATACGAAGTCATTAACAGAATAGTACCATTTTTCTATCAAAAATGCTTGCTCACGTTTTTTAAAAGACTTATTAGCAACTAAGGTTGATATCATTAGTTAGATGATTGTATTCAGCGGCACACATATACTCAGGACTTTTACGATAAACGATTAGATTGTAATTAACAACACATATGTCCTTATTGTTGTAAAGGTTGTATTTTTGGTGGTCTTCAATGTATGTAAACTTATTATAATTATTTTTTACGAATAAGCAAGCCTCAAGTATAAAAACACTGGGAAATGTTAACAGATGATTTGACTGAAAGTTCGTACTACAAGTATGTAGAGGGCTCAACGAAAATATCAGTATAATACTTTTTTGAAATATGAATGTGCGTTGAGCATACACAGAGCAACCCCAGCAGAGGACAAGGTACTTCAAATAAGGATATACGGTGGATATTTAGTAAATCCTTGGTACACATTGTTTTATAAGTTACACAAAGCAAAATAAGCTGTTCTGAGTTTTTTTATGACATAATCTAGATTATCTCTCCAGCTGAGTCTCTCGTCTACTATTACCCCTAAAAACTTTGTTTGTTCAACACTGTCAAGAACTGAATTATTCAACTTTAAGGTGATATTAGTTGATAGTTTACGTTTATAATAGAACTTATATTTGGTTTTGCTTTCATTAACTATTAGCTTATTATTCGTTATCCAAGACTGAAGTTCTTCTGGTGTGTCAGCCGCTATACTTATAGACGTGTCATCTGCAAACAACACTGCATCAACGTTAATATATTCATCCAAGTCGTTAATGAATATAAGAAATAAAAACGGTGATAATACTCCACCTTGAGGGACACCAATATTGATATTTTTACAATGAGATGTAACATTGCCCATTTTAACATAAATTTTGTCATGAAGGACTGAATCCAGTCATTTATTGGATACCTAAATCCATACTCTTCTAATTTCTTTGATAAAATAGTTGTTTGTACGCAATCAAATGCCTTACTCAGGTCAAAATATATTGTTAGTGTAAAAGTGAGAACGCAGCTGAATTGGTGAAGCAACCTGTTCTAAATCCATGTTGCTTGCTAGTTAATATAATGTAAGGCATTTGCAAAATTATCCATTCGACTATAGGTGATTTGTTCAAAGAGCTTAGAAAAACTAGATGGCAAAGTTATAGGACGGTAATCTTCGACAGCTTCTTATGAATCGGTAGAACTACAGATAATTTGAGGTCCTCGGAAAAAACTCCATTGATTAAAGATAGATTAAACAGGGTTGTTAATGGATGAATAAGATATGTAGCCAAGAACTTGAGAGATTTAGGTGGCAGCCCATCAATTCCAGCGGTATATACCTCATCAGGAGAAATCGCTGTACAGTCATGGGTGTTTATCTGATTATGGATACTAGCACTGATAAAATTAGTACCACCACATTTCGATATGATTAAGTTATCTGCAGCAGAGGAGAAATAGTCACGGAAATGATTAGTTATTTCTCTTTGGTCTGTCAGAATTGTACTACCATTGTTGACTTTAGTTACTTGGTTATTGATTTTCAATCTTCCTGTTTGTATATTTACTTTTCTCCATATTTCTTTTGCCAAGTTGCTAGAATATGCTTTTGTGTTGTTTTACAAGTGTTGTTTCATTAGTTGTAATTTGTCGTTGTATTGTTGCTTAGCTAATTTATAAGCCTTCTTGGAGTCAACGGTGTTACAATTTTAGCAGAACCAATGTAAGTTCTTCAATTTCCCGCTTTCATCCACAATATCACAGTCTACCCAGTCATTTGTATTATAGGTGTTTATCCTAAATTTTCTTAACGGTCAAGTTTTTTCTAAGCATTACGGGAAATTTTCCGTAAAACATTGCCAAGCCTGGTTTGAATCATCCATATGATATAGAGCTGAAAGATCTATGGTTCAAAGTAGAAGTTTGAAGTTTTCAAGATTACTATTTAAAAAAAATCTGCGATGAGTATAGACTGATCCTACATGATACTCCATTTCAGATGGAGAAGGAATGCTTAAAGTAAAAATTTCGGTTTTATGAACTGTTATACAGTAATCCGAATTAAGTCCTTCACAATTTGATTTGATCCAAGGACCAATCTATACTAAAGTCGCCAGTTTCTACAATGCTTTGATATTTTTGAAAAGTAGAACATAAAATGGCATTTAAACAATCCAGAAAATCCTTTACCGGACTACTTGGCTATCGATAAAACATTAAGAACGTGACTTTACTAACTTGTGATTCAGTTATAACACCCGCGCATTCACAAACTTGCTCATTGCTTAGTTGGTTCACTAATGATAATGCCGTAGCACTAACTCCACACTTTGTATGTATTGCAACACGTCCATGAGAAGAGATAGAGCGACTGAAGAAATGACTGAGGGAGTATCCTGGAATACCAGTTGCAACAATCTCATCTGATCATTTTCAGTTATAAATAGGATGTGGGGATTTTCCTGCTTCCAAGCTGAGGTATTTTATTCGATAGGCAATGCATATTTTGATGCATTTCTTTTAATTTAAGGCTAGCTATATCATTGGGTAGTTTGTTCGAATACAGTTCTCTTCCTGGATGCTCGAAAAAAACTGATCTCCGAAATGGTGATGCCCTTATTCCAAGACTTTGGGTTCAAGATAATATCCTTCAGAGCTGAAGGAACGCCTATTTTGAAGGAACTGAAATGAGGATTTGTATGTTTAGGATTGATTTTGTAGCGTTGTATGTCATCTGCGAGATGTCTAGTTAACTCTTCAGCAGATAAATCTTCTCGAAACCGAGATGCGTGTATCCAGTACCGTTTTCTAACTTCAACTGCAGAAAATTTGTCATCTGTGCTATCTGCCTGACCTATGATTGAAGGTTTCTTATTTACCTTTTGTTGGAATGGTCTATATTCGACATCAATCGAATAGGGGATTTCCTTTTTGGTCATGTTTTCTGTTTGTATTTGTTTCAGATGTTAGTGTTTCTGTCGACTGATTTACATAGCAAATTTGCATATGTCGTTTCTAGGATGAAACCTACATCTTAAGTAAATGTATTTGGGATAAGAAACTAAGGCAATTATCATCAACATAGTTTATTTTCACACAACTTACAGCTTAGACCTCCAATAATGCCATCTCTGAAGCAGGTGTTACATCTTATCAGAGCCAAACATTGACAGCTGAAGCGTCATGATGCTTAGGCAACACATATAGCTACAATACGAGTGCACATCAAGTGAACAACAGCTAATTCTAAGCTGACATCTTGTAGAAAGACCTACATATAATGTCACACAAAAAAGTAATGTCAAAAAACCGATATAATGTCAGTTTCAAGATATACGTAAAACCCCTGCCGAAACTGGGAAAAGTAGGAATGGATTATCACCCGTCACCTTTCACCTATCACACGCCACATGTCGCCTGCCACATTGGAGTATAACTGCAGCCTTAAATACTTGGTCTATCTAAAATTGGCTATAGAAATATGAACGATTCTTTTTAGGTGCCTATAGAAGTTTTAGAACAATTGAGCGCAAACAAAAAATTGTACAATGTGATCTTAGAAAATTATCCTAGTCTCCTGTTATGTCGTAGCACTTCCGACAAAGGTCTTAATAGATTAGCGGAAGATGCTGCTTCGATAGAAAGAGTGCCTGTTACAGTTTGCATGAAATTGAAACGAGACGAGAAAGACAAACACATGGTGCATCAAGTAAGTGGAAAGTGATAAACCTTGATTAGATCCTCAAGTTATTCGTTACAGGAATCACATTTCGTCCTTTTATTCCAACGAATGAAGGTTGAGACTAAGGAATAGAATCAATAAAGCGTTCTATACCAAATTTAGACGTTATTTTAAAAAGTTTGTCAATTTTTTTTTGGAATAGTAAAGAAATCTATTAAATTCAAGAAGGCTGGCCCTTTTCAACAATCCGTGATATTTTGTTCTGCTCCTATTTTTTTTTTGTAGTCAAGTTGGATTAGATGAACTACACAGATTCCATGATCTGTTTCAAGGGGAGTTGAAACTCACTTGGGCACAGCAAAGGCTAGTTCAGGACAAAAAGGCCTGCTTGCTCTCCTATATCATTGCCATATATCCTATATCTCCAAGAGTTTTGCTACTATACTACCAAGAGCATCTCTTATAAAACAAGTCTCAGAGTTACTTTGCAAGCACTTATTGCTTTATTTCCGCCTGGCACTCCCACTACTTCATACAGTGTACATATGACCGTAAAAATTTATCTTAAACTTACGTTAAATATTATGGTGTACCTACCAAGAGAACTGAAAAATGTTCGATCTTCAAAACGTATACAGAGGGAATGAGACATTTCACTGTAACAAACGGAAAAATTGCAAAATAAAGTCTTGATGTTAGGGTTCCAGAGGGTCCATTTTACAATAGCTTTTATATGTACACAATCTCAAATATTCAACGTTAAATTGAAAGAACCTGCTTCTTGCAGATGACACTGTACTAATATATTCTGATATCTCACATTCTGGAGGAGGGTGGGCCTAGGAGAAGAATAACAATCTTATCCGACAGCCAGGCTGCAATGAAAGCACTAAGTGCCTGTAAGATTACTTGTCTTGTATTGCAATGCAGGGAGGCTCTGGATTGCCTCGCAGCGAGGCATCCGGTATCGTTAATATGGGTACCGGGGCACGCTGGGATAAGGGGCAATGCGACGGCGGACACTCTGGCGAAGACAGGATCAGCCAGCAAGCTCGTTGGTCCTGCGCCAGCTCTAGGAGTGACCGCGCATAAAGCTAGGAGGAAAATGGAGACGTGGGGTGCAAGACAACACTCTCAGAAATGGAGAAGTATCTCCAGACATCTCCGCCAGGCACGAGAACTCATTGAAAGGCCCAGTGCTAAGGATGGACGCTTCTGCCTATCTCTGGATAGAGCCAACCTAAGGTTGCTGGTGGGACTGTTGTCTGGCCATAACACATTAAGGCGTCACCTGCATGTGATGGGGGTGGCTGAGGATCCCTTGTGTGAACGCTGCGGAGTAGAGGAAGAGACCTCGGCGCACGTTTTGTGTCCCTGTGAAGCTCTGAGCTACTATAGGCAGACTATACTGGGGTTCATTACTTTGGACCCTCAGGACGTCAAGGAGCTTGGACTCAAGGCGATTCTCAACTTCGCTAAAAGGGCCAGGCTTGTGATCTAAGGATTATAGAGGTGCATAAGGGCCCGCTTAAGCGGCCTATGCACTGGCACCTTCTGGTGGCCGGAATGCCTCTAATTTCAAGATTCATTCATTCAATATATTTTGACCTCATTAATTACAATGACTCGCTTTGCCGTAACAAATTAAGCATAAATACTGAAAAAAAATTCATGGTATATTGACAAAAAGGGAAGCGAAACATAGTTAAAGTTAAACAATATAACAATAGTGGTAGAATAGAAATACTTGGTAGACTACACGGTCGAGCAAGTTCGCAAGCACACAAAGCCGCGTCTCGCACCGTGAGCAAAATTTAATCGTGCCACTTTAGGTCCAACAAAAATTATAATAATTCTTCAACAACCAATATCTGAATTAATTTTAGGATCAATTTAAAATTCCCGAATACTAGTCAACAATGCCAAGGCATCCCTCAAATTGACGCACTTTTTTCTCTTTGCTCTCCTCTTCCTTTCTTGCTTCTTCCCTTCTTTCTCCCTAATTTTTAACCAAGAGCAAAGGTCCTATAGACCGCTCTGACAGATAATGATGAATAGAAGGAGCAATAAGAAAATGGTCACATCAATTAAACACAAAAACCGGATACATGGTACACTTTCGATATTTGATACCATGCTGGGGAAACACTAATATTATCTCACTCAAATACAAATACTCCAAAATGAAGCGATAAGACCATTTTTCTATCAACCCGTATTCCTCAACAGAATTTCTTCACAAAACAACAAATCTGCTAACCCTAAACAAATTAAAAAGTCTTGAGCAAATTAAATTAATACACAAAATTCGTAATGAAACCGTAAAAATAAGTATAGGACTTGAACAAAATAACGACGTGCATAACTAAAAAAATTTTTGGGAACAATACAATCAGAAATAAGAAAACACAAAATTCTCATATAAATAGAAGTATACAAATGTGGAATTTAATACTGAGGAACTTGTCAGAAAGGGAAGAAGAAAAGGTATTCAAAAATATAAAAATTTAGCTCAAAATGATGGACTGAAAAGATAGGGATATATATAAAAAGTAAAACAATGTTTATATACATTGTTATTGTAATGATTGAGTATTTATGTGTTTAATTCAATACATTGACTTAGTTTTAGTTTGATAATGTAATATGCAGGCGTTGGTGTCAGTTTATTGTACTGTTTTAAGGTATGAAATAAGTTGTTGTCAAAAAATTCATCAATGTTTCAGAGTTCACTGCCAGAGCAAGAAACAGTCGCACATCAACAAGAACCCTTACTAGCCGACAAAAAGCCAAAAACAGGCGGTCCTATCCCTCGTAACGCATCTTTTCCATGGTTGAAACACCAACTGATGCAAGCACAGAGACCACATTATTTCAAAAACCTGAAACTGCACAGGCAGTCTCTGATACATCGGAATGCTATTTTCAATCAAAATAAATACAGATTCAAAGCTTCCAGTTGTCCGAATATATTCAGGGTGTCGGTGTTGTCATTACCTAAAGATGAAGATGAGGTAAGTAGTTGGTCTACAGGGAAGGTCGATATGGGGGTCAATTTTTAAGCGCAGTAGAATAGAATGATTAAAAAACTTCTGACAGCTGCTGGCTAGTTAGTGAATACATCCACCATTTTTGACAAAATAATATGCTCCCAGGTTCTTCATATCATTAAAGGTTTCACCACAAACATAGCTTTGCCTTTAGAGGTGAGATCGGTGGACGATAGCGAAACTTCCGCACTTTTTCTATCGATAATGACTATTCTTCAGTGTTCAGGAATACAGTTACCATGAATGCCAATAGAGCCACGTTCACCTTGTAAGTTTGTTATTCTATTCTCTCATTGCAAGAATTGACCCCCTGGTGTCTAGAGTTGAGGAAAAGTTTAGAGGTTTACAAATTGTCATTATTCCAGACTAAAGATTCATTCACTGCCACCTCGAAAATGTCTAAAACACAATGGGCTCGGATCTATGGAATGTCATTCAAGCAACGTGACAAATGCAGTAGACTTTGGTCCAAAGATATCTTAAACCGTCCGTGTAAAATCTCTAAAATGGCCTATCCGAATGAGATTGGAAATTTTCTTATGATACGTTTTCTAATTAGAATTTTCGCCGAGACATCTACAAAGTTACATTCTCGCACTAAACAGATGGAGGATTTGGTGTCAGATACGGAAAAAATGTGCTATAAAAGCAGTCAAACGCTTTTGAAAATTAAAATATTGTTTATGTATATGTAACCGCTGTATCTGGTCCTGTTAGAGATGTACAACCTATTAAGTATTAGGTGAACCATATACTACTTTACCAAATTTCCATTTTCGTAATCGGTGGCTACAAAAAAACTGAACTTAGTAAACGTAGGATATGTAGAATTAATTCGCATATCATCATAAGATTTTGAAGTGGTGTGAGGCCAAATTTAAGGTAAAGATTATAGCCGCTTGGGATCACCCGTTAATCCTCGTACCAAATTGACATCGTATTACGAATCTAGGTTTCATACCAGATCAAAAAATGCAGAAGGATTTTTGAAAATTTTCTGATAACACGATTTATACGTGTTATACGCGTGATTGGGCTACCATCGAGATAGTATCTAGAGCGGAGTTATTCCAATCGTTTCACCCGATTGTCTACCTCAATGAAGTGACCCTAAAGTGTTTCCTAATGGACTCCAAATTGGCAACGTCATGATCTGACAAATTTAAATAAAATTTGATCAACCTATTTGAGGGTTGTGGTTTTGACATTTGTGTAAGTTACACAGATCAAAATGACTGTAGAATAGCTGGATGTATTTTGACTTATAAGGTTTTGTCAGATTTAAACCAAACATTTCATCCTCGAAATTTCTGTTTCACTGGCTTTTAATGGCTTGATCTTGATGGATTTTGATATTCGCTGTGTTCTTATATTCGCCTTCATAGCTTAATAAAAACTTCATTCTTTTTATAGTTACTGCTGTCAGGTAACTTTGTATTTTCAAAAAATGTACTTGTAGCAATACGAAACGGCGTCAGTGAGCGGAGGCAAGGATTTGTATCATTGACACAGATGTGATTTGAGTTTCACACTCTGGATACATCAGTAGCTATTCACCAGGTCTTGATTCGGTCGTGCATCTTGTTGTGAAACGTTGTATGCCTAACGATTTCTTCGTATCCATCTAATCGCCAACAGCTCATCTTCAGGGTACAAGACACCATATTTAGCAAACACAAAATAACGATGATAGTAGTCAACTAGAAAGAAATACTCGTATTTTCCGAGAAACCCAGTTAAGTTGTGCAAAACGTAAATGCAATTTGTTATATAAAAATCGTGGCCTGACTCCGTGATCAAAGACGTTATGCCATATCCTCTAGAGATTCTATATCCGATACAGAGGGGTAATTGATTAGTACAGAACTGTGAACGAATAGAATTCTATCCGCTAACGTCACCCCAGACACTACCTCCCGAAATCAGGAAGTTCTGGTATTTTTTGTAACTCCCGATCTTTTAGTAAATCTATGTATTTTATACATATTTTTACTTTAATCACGAGCATTGGTAAATGAGTAATGCGGTTCATAACAAAGAAGTAGATACCAGAAAAACACCTTTGGACCAACAGGTACTTGTCACCTAATTCGAATGCCCAGAGTTGTACAGTTTGTTCAGAAATTTAAATCTCATTACGATATTCTGTTGAATATTTCATGAGCTTCTTAATTCCCCTGGACTCCCGCACTGATGAGGGAATGCCAACAAGAACTGAACACACTGGCGGAACACAACAGAGTAACTCTGATGTGGGTGCCAGGACATTAAAGTAATGCCGGAAATGAAAGGGCGGATTAGCTCGCAAGGAAAGGACCATGTACACTTTATACATGCCCAGAACCTGCCTTGGGGTGCCAAAAACCACAATAAGGAACCGAGTCAAAGAATGGGTAAGAATCCATCACAAGGAACATTGGTTCTTAGTGACTGGATGTAGGTATGGGAAATAATTCATCTCGGGATCATGTCTGATCAAGACTGCGGAACTGCTCTCAATGAATAGAAACCAACTCCGTGCAGTTACAGGGCTCCTAAGAGGACACAATAGCCAGATAGAATACCTGAGCAAAATAAGGCTGTACGATGGAGACCTTAGCTGCAGACAGTGTGGAAAAGGAACAAAATTAGCCCTTTGTGTCTTACGTGAGTCCGAGGCGCTGGATCACACAAGACATCCAACAAAAGCTTGAATCGAGAGAGTTTAGAACAGTACCGGCAGGAAAACTGTATCATCTACTTCAGAACACTAGATTGCTGGATTGGGTACTGTAAACTCGATGAGAAACGCACAATAAGCCCTAGAGGCGGCAGTGCCATTGGGGATTTATCATACGGCTCCCGGAAAGGGAAAAATGCCCCTTAAATAATTCCTAACAGTGATCAGCGGTTAGCGGGCGATGCTGAAAAGTACCTGGTCAGGATCTCACTGTCCTTTGTAAGGGCCACTGCGAATATTTAAATACTATATTGTGGCCTTGTGGCGTCCACTTCATGACCTGGTTCACACGAATCCAAAAACTGTTGTTGGGGCAGCTGGGCAACATTATCTTCTTGGATACGGATGAAATTTTATAAATGAAACAGTTTTTCTAATTTTAGAATTACCAAGGTTAAATGTTGTCTAGTCCAAGCCTGTACGTTTCGCGGCACGCTTCAGTTGCAGGTGTTTGTACCCTGTACACTTGATTTATATTTCAAGAAAGATTGTGGAGGCTAAGGTCATGAACAAGTGGACAGAATATCGTAATGGGTCTCAGAGTTTTGAAGAAAATCATTTGTGTATCGCCTTGGTTGCCTTTACATAATGTCTGCAGGTTTAGCTAAGACCTTCAGATTATTCTAAATTTTCCACACTCTAGACATCCGACCTATAAAATTAGAACAAAAATATCTGACGATTGGTAATATTTTATAGAAATGGTACACCGAACTGCTTGACTTGGTGGAGGGAATGTTCGATTTTACGTTATTCTTAGAACTACACTTTTTCTTGCTGTCGCTATCCACCATAATACTTTTTATTTGGTTTATAGTGCCGTACTTTTATTTGGCCGATCATATGCCAAAATATGGATATAGCGAAGAGGATGCTTCTCTTACTATTGCCAACATTGGCATTACTAACACCATCGGCATGGTAAGTAACCAGTTGGCACTTATTTGCCCAAAATGTATTTTAAGGTAGTCGGGTCATTTTAAGCTTCAATGTAGTGAATTTGAAGAACAGTCAAATTTTCAACTCTGACTGTGGGGCTAGAACCTACATGGCTTACCATATCCCCATTGAAGTAACATTTAAACAAGAGCAGCAAATTATATTCAAATAATCAATTATTAGATTTTTAGAATCGTATTATCTATTGTATGATTGGAGATATCAAAATGGTACATGTTTTGATCACCTCTGTAGCAGTATGAAACCTTCATACGCTCGATTTCGAGATATTTTTTAACTGACATTTTAGTTGACGCGATGAATGTGAACATAGCAAAACTACATTCTTCGACCTATTCATACGTATTTTTTTAGTTAGAAACTTCATGCAACACGTATATTTCCAGATCGCCTTAGGTTGGGCTGGGGACCAACCGTGGATGAACATGACAAAAACCTACGCCATATGTCTGATTCTATGCGGAATATCATGCGCAGGTATAATGTTTTTCACGACCAACTATATCATGATGGAAATATGTGCAGGCTTTTTTGGATTATTTCTGTCCAGTTCGTTTTCTTTCACACCTGGCATTATAGTAGAATTGGTCCCGCTGGATAGATTCACAGTGGCTTACGGTTTGCAGCTGCTTTGTATGGGCATTGGGATACTGATTGGACCACCTTATGCAGGTAAATCAACGATAGGTGTAGATAAACATGTGTCCGAGACAATTTAAGATCTTTCCAGTTTATACGACGTGTAGATCACGTAATGATCGTGAAAGTTGAGCACCGCTTTTGAACATGCAGTTCTTGCGTTTTCTCTCCGTTACTCAAATACAGAATAACCAGGCACATACTAAGAAAAGCTCTAGAATTTTGTAACGCATCTAGCATAAAAATCGCTTCCTCAATTCGTAAATCAACAAATGGGAATATTTTTTCAAATACCTAAAACAGGTCTCAAAAGCATTGTAGTTAATGTATTAGCATAAATATTGTAGGTCGCCATTCCACGTGGATACAGTGACAGGAGACCATAGGCCCTGCCGCCAGTCGCTGTCTCCATGCGAAAATGCATCTCTAGGGATGACTTCATACCTTCGAAATTACAGGTCATAATATTTCACGAATTTGGAACCTAATCTAAAGAAGTCAAGATCTCACAGTAATGAAACTGGAATTCTGACAGTTGGTTAGAATTCAGCGCCTCGTAGCTCCTGAGATCCTAATTTTATGCAAGTTGTATTTATCTGTCAAATATGGATACTTTGCCCGCGGATAGATCTTTACGGGAGTTAAAAACAGATCATTCGTCAAGAAAATAATCTAATGTCAAAAAACCATCTAATTATTCCCATATACATACTCGTTATTCTATGAAAATGTGTCTTTCTAGGTCATCTATACGATGTCACAAAAACTTGGGAACAACCATTTTACCAGGCAGCACTGTGGATGGTGATATCAGGCTTATTAATTATTTTGATACCTTCTACTAAAAATAGGAAAATCCTTGGCAAGGGACCGGTAGAAAAAGAAATTGAAGGATGCAAAGATAACATTATCTTTTCTATAATCCTCATTGTCCTCTTGTTGGTACTTACAGGGATTGTTTTGTACTTCACAATAGACTGTCTCCTGAGATCTTTTTAAACAGTATTTATATTATTGTGAATTTTTTGTATAGTACAGGAAGCGTGTATTTTATTATATTTCATTTCTATCACGAATATACAAAAGGAAATAGTTTTGTTTGATTTACATTCTCTAAACACCATATTTAGCATGGTACGTCAATTATGGGTAACATGTTGAGTACTTAGTACTCCCCTGAATTTTGGGCTGCTTATAGCGGACTCGCTCAGAGATGCCGGGAAACTCTGTCGTTGCCTGCTGCCGTACGTACGAGTCTGTAGTGTACCGTGATTGGCGAAACTATTCATAGATGGTAGTGTAGCTTTTATTTTCCGCAGACTACAATGCTGAGATTTTCAGTAGACCCATATTCACGTGTTCGATTTCCCGCACTCTGTCTAGACCTATACCATATTGATGATTGCTAAAAAGCATGAAACAATGTCGTAAATGGTCGATTATGATAGCAGAAACGGAAGACAAACAGACCTTATTCAGACTATATTTAAAACAAAAACAGATTCGTTCACCAATGTGTTACCTCATTTTTAGTGTATTCCTAAATAGAAAAAGGATACAATTTTATGTTCGTTCAGCCGCATTTCATTCTTCTACAAAATGTTAAGATTTTGAGATTGAATCATCCAGAAATGAAGTTCAAGTTCATTTGTACTTTCGTCGCCAATTGACGAGGAAATGTTTTAAACATTCCGGAATAGAGAAAAGTAGATAGGTACGTCACAAAAATCATATGCATTATCCGTAGCCATTCTATACAACTCGGCAAGTTTAGCCAGAATTTTGGTAACATCCTGTCATAAAAATGTTTCCAAACTTCATTTCAAGTTTCCCCGAAATAATAGTAAAGTCTGGTTTTATTGGTGCAAGTTGTTCAAGGGGTATTTGAAATATGGACACATAAAATGGGTACACCAATTTTTGTTGGTAAACTTTTTATTTGACAACAAAGAATGAGAAAGCGTGTTTTTTGGAATTCAATCGAAAGTTTTGACAGGAATGAAACAACTTTTCATATAAGATTTTGAGGTAGGTATTTATGAGACCTACAAAATGAGACCACACGTAAAAAGATCCGACTAAAAGCAAACATGCCCAGAAACGAGGCAAAATGCAGGTTTTGGCACTTGTTGGTAATGAGACGATGATTTCTCGCAGATTTGAAATTCTTCAAATTAGTACTTCTAAATAACCACAACAAAATTGGAGTAGATTAGTCAAATAGTTTTTTGAGAATTTCCAATTGTTTATCCCCAAACACCTGTTTTCCGGCCATCACTACTAGTTTATTGAGCATTGTACAGGGTTCGTTCTAAGAGCATTTAATAGCAATACAGGTGTTTACCTTGCCGATATGAATCACAGACCATTCCGAAAGATAAATGTTATTTTTACGCGAAAAACAAAGGTTACGTTTTTTCTTCTAAATAAATTCAAACATTTCGTATTTGTGAGTAATTGAACAAATGTTCTGCGATATTCGAAAAATATACGTTACTGAACACATTTTAGAACAAAGCGGATGTGTCTTATCATCTTTTGTTGCAAATTACTCGCAAATACGAAATGTTTGAATTTGTTTAGAAGAAAAAACGTAACTCATCCTTTTTTGGAAAAAAATTACATTTATCGTCCGGAATGGTTTGCGAGTCATATGGGCAACGTAAACTAGTATATTTTGCTATAAAATGCCCTTTGGACCAGCCCTGTATATTGCTCAATAAACTAGTAGTGATACCCGGAAAACAGGTGTTTTGGGATAAACAATTAGAAATTCTCAAAAACTACTTGACCAATCTACTCCAATTTTGTTGTAGTTATTTAGAAGTACGAATTTGAAGAATTTCAAATCTCTGCGAGAAATCATCGTCGCATTACTAACAAGTGCCAAATCCTGCAGTTCGTCTCGGTTTTCGGCCATAACTTTTTTTGCTATTAGTCGGACGTTTTTACGTGTGGTCTCATTTTGTAGGTGCCATAAATACATAAAAATCTTAAGTTTTTTTGTACCTGCCAACACTTTCGATTGAATCCCAAAAAATGTTTTCTCGTTCTTTGTTGTCGAATAAAAAATTTTCCCACAACACTTGGTGTACCCATTTTATGTATCCATGTTCTGAATACCCCCTTGAACAACTTGCAGCAATAAAACCAGACTTCACAATTATTTCGCAAACCAGGAGTATTTTCGTATAATATGATTAGACTATTTTTCATTTTAGAACATCGTACAAAAAATTCAAGGAAATTGGAACCATCGTTTTTCAGCTTTTTCGAACCTTGTGGTTACTTTGGGACACAGTAACCAAGTTTTGTGGAATATGATTTTTTTGAAATCGGGCATCTCATTAATTTCACGTATCAGTTCAATTTAAATTTAAACAGATTTATATCAGCGCGTGGAAAGTATCTAGTCTACTAGACGACATATTTAAGTTGCACGCTCATTGAAGCGAGGGACGCGTAAAGAACAGCAGCATTTCTTTTACAAACGTCAGACGTGACACGTTGCTTCCTTTCGCGTCGCTCCAATTCTCTTCTTTTCCCTTGGCTTCCTCAATGGACTTGCACCTTTATACTCCACATGAAGGTTATCATTCATTGTTGATTAGGTTAGGCCTAACGAAGAATCTGTGTGTTGGGTAGGTATTGTAGTGTGAACCAGTGGTTAAATGAAACGCCTTATTTGAACTTATACACTGTATTTCAAAAATAGATTCGCATAAATTAAAAGAAAACGCAAGTGCGATATAAACTTGATATCTTAATAGTCATAAGCCCACTCATTTTCTGTTAAGAATGCATCCACCACCTCTTTCATTGCAAAATTTGGTATTAACTGATCCTGGGTCAATTTTACTCTAGTTACAGGATCAAAATGGCCAACCCTCTGAAACAAAGAAACAGATTAACAATCTACATCATCAGTTCTTCATGATGCATTATTACTTCAAAAAATTTAAAAAAAATAAAAATATGATTGGTAACTTGTTCTTCTGATCAAAGCAATTAGAGCATATACAAAATTATATTAAAATTTAGCTTTTTTAAAAGTGATTACTACTTTTGAAGTATGATCATCTACATCAAAATGAAAAAATCAAAAAATTATAAGTATATTCACAGTAGTGTTATTGAATTACAGGTAAGCAGAAGACATCAGTTTGGTTTTCATAACATATTTTGAATGATTATTTTACCTGCAAATGTTCTTCTAGATCCTTTTTGTCATATGTGATTCCACTAGGTGTAATAACAGGTTCTTGAAGAATTTCAAAACTTATTTTACCACATAAGTAATCTGGAACCTCTCGTTTCTGCAAAAAGAAAGATATCATACAACTACATTTTTAAAATATCAATATATTCCACTCACCCTCCTTCTATCATCCACTTTCACAAATAGCTGATTGAGTTCATTCATATAATTATCCTGAAAAAATAGTGTCATAAAGTCTGGTGAAGTCACACACATGCCACAAGTCACATGCATGGCACTTTAGTGTTGTGTTAGCATTGACCTGTTAGGTAAATGATATTAATAGTGAAAAGTATAAGAACAGCAATCAAGTCATTGTTGATCCTGGATTGAGTGTGCTTTAAAGGCCAACATTCACTGTCACTAAAAACCTATTGATATTAAATCATTCTATTCTTAGGTGCTCCAATTCTGTAGATCCATCCATCCTAGTTCCAAAAGAAGCAGTGTGGCTGTTTTGGGACTTGGTACTGACTGAATACTTAAGTCAGATACTGTACCATGCTCTGAAGAATTGAGGTATCTCCTTTCATCAGTAGTTTTTGATTATAACTGCTTCAAGTTTGGCATGATGGACATATTGTGGATGGCAAGCTCAACATAGCAGCCATGATGTTGAGCCACATTATCATCATATTTGTTATCCAAACATGTTGTCTAGTGCAATTCACCTAACAGTGCTCCTTTGATGCCACACATTTTTCATCCATATAATATTCAGAAATGTGTACAATTTGTTGTGTTAAAAGCCCAACATTTTTAGCATTCATATAATCATTAAGATAAATTTATATGAAAACAAGACTTACACATTTGTCTTCAATGTCCAATATTTTTTCCTTACACTTCTCATTATCGCCCTCATCTTGCGTCACTTTAGCTATCTGTGACTCCTTATCCTTTTCTATCAATCTGTTCAAATAAGAGTGCAATTCTATTTCTTGTGTTATTCTTTTCTCCTCTTGTACAGAAAAACGTTTTTTCCTGGCTGCTCTCAACTGAGCTGCTATATCATCACCAAAATTCAGTTTCTGTTCTTTTGCCAAGTCTACAGCTAAAATAAGAAACAAATATAAGGATATATCAATATCTTGAAGTTAGCAGAGATCTCTTCCAACTATGCTTTACCATACTATATGATGTTAATATTATAGTTATCTATATGACCCAACTCAAGAGGTAAGTAAATAATAAAATATAATTATAAACAAAGAACATGCCTTGTGAGTCAAAACATCATTATACAGAACATTCTCCCAACAATTACTTAAGATATGCTCATCATGAAATTAGAAAGACTTCAAAATGTAAATCAAATTATCGAATACCTCTTTGCAAGTGCTTTATGGATTCATCATAATTCTCAGTTTCTAACAATGCTTGTCCAAGAAAAAAATGTCCTTTTACAAGGTTCGGATCCATATCCAAAGCTCTACGACAGTCTGTACAAGCAGGTTCCCATCTCAGCAACTTTAGATGACATAATGCTCTGTTTGTGAAATAATGAGCTACATCTGGATTTTTGATCTAAAAATCATATTTTTGTTAAAAAGAATGCTTATCGTTTCATTTATGTACTTCAAAAATAACGCTTACAATAGCTTTTGTGTAACAACTGATAGCATCATCATATTTTCTTAAATTAAACAATCTGTTTCCCTGCTCTTTCAATTCTTTATCAGTTAAATTAGCTGTAGAATACATATGTTTACTCATTTTGATATTCTTTTCTTTTGGTTTCTACTTTCAGAATGTATTCTTTGCACCAGGACCTTTGCTCTCAAGTACGACATAAAATTCAAAACCAACAACAAAACACTGGTTTTATCAATAATTGATCCGAAGTTTAATCAAAGCTCTCAAATAACTCGCTTCATTTTTAAAATCTAATCTGCAACTGTAATTATAATCAACTTTCCTATTTCCAATTTTCCATCACTAATGACGGGAACATTGTCATGTGTCAAGCTTAAAGTCAGCAAGCAAGAGATGGGAAAAATAACAGGATAATTCAACCAACAGGTTTAACCGACTATTTTATAATGTACGATCAACAAAATAATCCGATCACAAAGGTTAATAGCTGGTAATAAGGTTATTTTTGTTTTTTGTCTACAAAAATCACCATGAATATGGGCATCCTGGGTAGCATTCGCGATCTTTCTATTATTTTACTGTGTACGGTGAGAGTGAAATTTGGCTGACGTCGGCATGTTTGTGTACAAGAGAGAAGCGCGCGATATGTATGTTAGAAAGAGATCTAGCCGTTTTTTATCAATAACCACCTATCCTTAAGCCTAGTACTCACTAGTAGACATGTCTCGCGATTTTGGTCTCAGAGACATGTCTAAAGTTGTCTCAGTATGTCTCGGTAGACATGTCTATAGACCAAATCCGGTCTACGGGGCGGTTGCGAAACTAAAAAAAGCAGGTCTAAAGTCTCCCGATTGAAATGGGAGACTTGATGCAACGTTGGGATACGTTGCGCAACAAGGTGATAGTGAGTACCTCGCGTCCATAGACGATACATTTCCCAGTACCTCTCTTGCTTTGTAAACAAGTGCATGCGGTCTCTGCTGTTTTTGTTTACCATGTGGTCAAACGACAAATGTTGTCCCCCAATCTTAATTTATTTACTAGTTCGGTACCGAACCTAGGTCCTTCTGCGAACACTTCGCGCGTCCACCAACGTTTACGCTTTCGCGCATTTTTACTAAACAGGTACTCATTGCGCACAAAGCAAGGTCCGCCATGGTGGTTGGCGAAGATGAGACTAGAAAAATTCCCATCACAGTGTGGATGCTAGACGAGGCAAAGATCGGTGTTTCTACACCATGTCTATGTCTCAAGTCTAGACGGTCTCTAGACCACCTAAAGAAAATCGCGCAACGTGGTCTCCAAGTGAGTACTTACCTTTACAGCAAGTGCTTATACAGAACACCTTAAGAGGGGAACTCAGAATCATAGAAATAGACATCAGACTTGTCGTCAGTCGCAGTGTTGCCGAACCTCCCAATATTGCGGTATTTATACCGAAATTAGACCTTACTTATGGAAATACTGAAAACGTCCTCATTTTCCACTTTTTAAATGAATTTAGATATTTTCAGATTTTTTACCGAATAGCTGGAACTAAAAATAAAGCTAAACAATGCTATGTAGTTTCATGTGCCATACACCAGGCATGCATAAAAGTACACACCGGCTGTCGGGTACACGAGGGACGTAGATTTGGGTTGCCTTAGAATATTCCTTATTCTGCTTTCCCTATATTGGTTTTTGTGCGTACAACTGGTACAGACTGGCAGATCACCGTCACTTCCGCATCACTGGACAAGCAATATTCAACCCCAAGCGCGTCTGTATCCAATTAAATTAATATTTAAAGAAAATGTCAGATGGTGAAGCTTTAAGTTCAGGAGTAAAGCAGAAACGTTTTCAGAATTTTATAAATAAGAATGCTTGTATAAGTTGTAATAAGGAACTTAATATTTTTTCAGGAATAGATGCCCCCAAAAAATGATAAAACAATGCTTTTTAAAACAAACCGCAGGTTTAATATCTTTGGTAAATCATATGCTTAGCTTTGTAAATTGTGTGACTTTCGAAATCAGTTAAGACCAGTATTTTCAGATATAACTTCAGATGGAGATGAATAAAACACTTATGCTGTTTACATGATTATAGTATTCAGGCATTATCTACTAACTAAAGGTATATTAAGGTTTATTTGACGGTATAAATCGCTGATCTTTTTCACGTATCCTGTACGTCAAAGATTAGAGATAGGAGTATAGGAGGTTAAGCTGCCTAAGTGATACACATATTCATATGGAGCCAATCCTGCCATCTATAGACTATTACACGAGTATCCATCGCGGTAGAATGACAGCTGATTATCTAGTAAGTATCCAACGAGGGAGGAGTGGGACGCTGGTAGCTGGGGACTCACCGAAGAGGGCTCTGGCGCTGGGATCTCGGGGACTAGGACTAGGCTAACTCTGCCTCTTGGTGGATACACCACTATTTTCCATGCGCAAATCGTTGTGATTCTGGTTTGTCTATTCCTAATTTTGGAGGGGGTGAGTCTAGGGTCTAGGAGAAGAATAACAATCATCTCTGAGAGCCAGGCTGCAATGAAGGCACTAAGTGCCTGTAAGATTACTTCGAGCCTTGTATTGCAATGCAGGAAGGTTCTGGATTGTCTAGTAGCGTGGGATTCGGTACCGTTACTGTGGGTACGCTGGGATAAAGGGCAATGAGACGGCGGACGCTCTGGCGAAGGCAGGATCAGCCAGCAAGTTCGTTGATCCTGAGCCAGGGTTGCCCGCGCTAAGCGTTAGATTAACAATGGAGGAGTGGATTGCAAGATAACACTCTCAGAAATGGAGAAGCATCTCCAGACATCTACGTCAGGCACGGGAACTAATTGTTGGTTCCAACGCTAAGGATGGTCGTTTCTGCTTATCTTTGGTTAGAGCCAACCTAAGATTGCTGGTGGGACTGTTGTCTGGCCATAACACGTTAAGGTGACACCTGCACGTGATGGAGGTGACTGAGGATCCCTTGTGTGAGCGCTGCAGGGTAGAGGAAGAGAATTCGCACGTTCTGTGTCACTGAGGCTCTACTACAGGCAGACTATATTGGGGTCCATCACTTTGGACCCCCAGGACGTTGAGGAGCTTGGACTCAAGGCCATACTCAACTTCGCTAGAAAGGCAAGATCTAAGGAATGTAGAGGTGCATAGGGGCCCGTTTAAGCGGCCTATGCATTGGCTCCTTATACTGACCGGAATGCCTCTAATTTAAAGATTCATTCATTCGTTCACTCCCAAGTTTCCGTAGGTCCCCAGCGCCTACAAGGGGACATTCGCCCATTTTGAGAACGTCTGTTCTACTGCCTCATCCGGCATAATTTTGAAAACATACTGTCGGTCCCTTTGATCGTTGTATACCACCTATTTAATAACTACCTGTTAACTGAAACTGCATATGCAGGATTAACTGTTTATTGACGTTTCGGTCACTTTTTTCAGTACAAACAAAAAAAAAATGGAAATATATTGTAATATTTACCTGTCTCATACCGCTTTATATCTGACAGATAAATATAGAATGCACTATATAGATGATAGATCAAATAGAAGTTGTAACAGGCTATTGAGCCTATAATAGCCTAGCAAAGAAATATTAAGAAAATAAAAAATTGCACTCTTCTTCCTAGGATTGCGTGGAACCTACAGCTTCAAATATGTTTTGACTAAAAGATCCAAAAACCAGGCATTTTAACCTTCAAAATTCTCCTTTTAGATCTTCAATACGTCCATTTTACTTCCTACGCCATAGGGTGAAAAAAGAGGACAAAAAATCGCTACAATTTTGTTTTTAGATGTTTCAAAATCTCCTGAGCATGTTAGGGGTTGAAAATTGGGGGTTGTAAATATTGCGTCTTTAGTATTAGTCAAAGACGTTCTATCATTAAGAAGCTTTTGATTCTGGTAACACCGGGAAAATTAAATGATAAAAGCTCAATGTACCTATAATGTGCTCATAATTCGAAATATCTTGCAATCGTTGTTCGTTGGGTGCGCGACGCTGCATCGTCGTGTAGGCCACTGCCGACTTAATTTGTTTTACTCAGTATATATGATCACTCAATATTTTGTCAAGTAGATTGACTTATTATGCCGATATAAATGAGAAACGCAGACTTGTGTGATGCAGATATATTTAAGCAACATAAGACTTGCAAACTGAAGATGCATACTATCGCGAGTTCAATACTTTCATCTTTTAGGTTTAGGTAGTTGAAGATTTTGAAAATTGATTCAGTTGCGACGGAACTACGGACAAAAAAATAAAAATCGCTTGAGGAGCTTGCATACAAGGCCATACTCAACTTTGCTAGAATGGCGAGGCTTGAGGTCTCAGGAATGTGGTACACAAGGGTCTGTCTAGGTGGCCTGTGAGCTGGCTCCTTATGGTGGCCAGTATGCCTCTAATTTCATGTTTCATTCATTCATCTAGTAATATCTCAAAATTCCCCATATCGGCACAAGACACATAATTCTGACGGATCCGTCAACGTCAGGTAGTCAGAACCATATTTTGTTTTGGTTTTTGTATGCAACAGATTCACTTTGTATTTGCTAACAGCTCTTTTATTTAGATACCTTCATTTGTATAAAAAAACAATATGCTACAAACAAGTTTTACTAGATTTATATCTGATTCATTATTGCCAAAGTCATAGACCTACACAAAAATGTCACTTGCTGATTACTGTTCACCTCAGTAAACGTCAAAGCATGATGGATACTCGTGAAATAGGGTATAAGATGGTGTGGCAGCAAATAACAGGTGATTATCTAGCATTTTAAAATTGAAACAAAAAACAGTTTTTGACTATGTTTGGTGTGAAAAGTGTATTAGCTGTTCACCCCATTAGATGTCAAAACATAAATGATGTTTGTGAAAAAGGCCATATTTTTAAAAAAAATCACAGATCATATACAAAGAATAACATTACTTCTTCATGTTATATTCCTCTAGTTCAGCAACATATTTCTCTTTAGACCTTTCATATCTATCTACATAGATTTTTTTGTCTTGTCCTGACAATGTCTTCCACTTGAGCGCCAATTGCCTAGTCAACTCCTGTTTTGTTGGTTCTACTTCACCAGGTTTCAACTCTGAAGTTATCTGTTCCATCAGTATCTGCCTTTGCTCTTGACAAAATTGGAAAAATGGATTTGAAGGTCTCTTAGGAGCATTTGGGTCTTTTTCTGTCCTCACTGCTTTTCTTTTTGATGATTTTTTTACTACCTTTTTCTCTGGTTTTTCTAAAAAAATTAAAATCATATTTACTCCCACCTGATACTTATATATAGGATTTTAATAATTATAATTGAGCCACAAAAATTTCAGCTTTCAGGGACAATTACAAAGTAGTCATTTTGTGTTTTGGGAATCAAGACATTATGAGGGGAAGAATATATTATGTGACTACAATAAATGTGTATGAGATATACCTTCTTCAGGTTTTTCTTCTTTAATTCTGTCCTTCATTATAAGGTGTCCTACAGCTTTTTTGTCATCTTCTTCTGCAACCAAATCAGTATTTGGGATGACACTCCAGTCCTCATCATAATTTTGCATTAGCCTGTTTCTGAGGTATTTAACATCCTTCAATCTACGTTTTGTTATTTTATTCACTTCCTGGATCCTGAATTGAAAGGAAAAACTTGTAGGGGTCAACTTTCACACGTTTCTAGCAAAGTAGGTACATGAACCACAACCACAACCAACTTTAGAGCTTGTAAAAACTCTATTGGTAGGCGAATATACCTGAAGACTAGTATCTCGTTAGCCCTTTGTAACTGTGAACATTCCTCTAATAGTAACTTGTATTTTTTGTAATATAGATCCTGTTCTTGATTATCTACATAAACACCATCATTTTCTGACTCGTCTGACATCATCTTTGCTAAATTGAAATGTTAGTGATGTTAAAATGGTAGCTATTTTACCAGATAAACATTGCATGTAAACATTCAAGCTAGGGTAAAATCACAAATTATGTCACACTATAAAATTAAATTAAAAAACTTGTTTTGAATTAGATTTTGGCAACTGTCAGATTTGTTATCAGCAGTATCAGCACAGAATCTATCAGGCTGTCACTGTCACTGTCAACGATAGCAGATGTTTTCTTAGCGTAAGGGCGGTCACAACCGCCGTTGTGTCACCACGACCTTGACCGGCCAATTAAAAGGACACTGGTTGATCCCATCGTGATAGAAATTCTACAATACACAAAATTGCCAGATCTTATTCAAGACTTAAGGGGAAACAAGTGTAGAAAGGCTGTTTGAATTGTCAGCAATCTTATAGGTCTAATTTCCTCGATCCGGTTAGCATGTTTGGCAATCCTGATGGAAAGAACGATGACTGTAATTTGCCTTATTTCTGTTTGTCCGTGCAGTGTGCGCCACCTATACCTATTTTTGACATAGAGGATAGAGGACGTCTGTCATTGCAGAATTTCCTATTTCCAGATTTTCCATCATAGCACAGTTTTTCCGTAACCCGCGCAAGTAACCAGCGATTTCCTTTGTGCTTTGTTTTCCTGATAGTTTTTATCGGCCATTTCGTCTTTTTCGATTTGCTCTAATCCTATATTCCAAAATTTAACAAATCCATAACGCCAAAAGGTCGGCAGTTTCATTGATAACGAGTTCTTTGCAGTCTTCTTTCCCTGTTCCGCATTCCATTTTTGGCTGTTTTCGAAGGCATCGATCCTTTTGATAGAAAATCAACGCTGTACCATGCTTGTCGTTTTTTAGCATCGTCTTCAGCTTTACTAGTTGTTGGTAAGTATATTTTATTTATAATTATTTGTTTTGTTTTGCATGTGTTGTAGCTTTCGTATCAGAAAGTTTGAATAGCGATTAGATGAACTGCATTTCATAAGTACCAGTCAATCAATCAATCTGTTATTGCTTTAAATTAAAGCCCACTCATGGACAGTAATCTGCTATGGCTTTTTTATTCATTATTCATAATTATCAACAATTTTATGAATAGGCCTAAAAATACACGGCAGGTTTTTCGTCATCTTAAGAAATATCCAAGCCGTAATTTTTCCAATAATATTGAAGACAGTTCAAAAGTTTTTTTTATGTTAAATCATCTAGAGGGGTGTGATTATTTTTCTTGTGCATGAGGGTCTGTAAAATAGTAGGGTCTGTTACAACCTCAAATGAAAATCCCTAAGGTTTTTGAGGTAGTATATTAGAATATACCTTTGTGCACAGTATTTACTCATTTGTAATATTTGAAAGGATTAGCTATCACACAATTTCATAGAAAGTTCCAACTAGTAACTGCGATTAAAAACCTGCGAGAAAAACCTTGATTTTCTGTAATGTAAGGTGGTCTTGACTGATTAGTCAAGATAAAAGTACATGAATCTTGAGTAATAAAGCAATGTAAAGTACTTCATGCCAAAAGTTTGTTCTTTGTTCATGTTGAGCTTTCTAAAATGTTTCTTTTCTTCCTCAGCACAATATCATTAAACTCTACTCACAATGTTGAAGTTTTTTTTGAAACAAGTAGTCCTGGAAACTGAGAAGATACCATCAAATTAAAGACATTAACAATTTACAAGTCACAAATTAAAATATTGATCAATAGGAAGACTTCATTAGAGGTAAACATTAAAATTGTTGCATATGCATAATACAAAATTTTGAAGTTTTCCTCCAATGAAGTGTTTCTATTGATTAATAGTTTAATGTGTGATTTGCATAGTTGCATGTTTTTCAATGATTAATGTTTTTTCCAAATAGCATGTCACAAAAAAGATAATTGTCATACAGTTATCTTTGTTAACTAAACTTTTTGAAAGCATTTATGAACAAAAAAAAACTTTCATTCTGGCTTGAATTTCTTTACATTGCTGCAACTTCAAGATCATTGTACTTGTATTTGTTTTTCTAAATAGACTCCAGGTACTGAGTAATTTTGATAAATTATCCAATTTAGTAAGACTGAAAAATACAAGAAAAACAACCTTAAATGCAATTCAATTAATGCCTCCCTTTTTGGATAACACAACAGGTGGCGATCTTGAAATTGACATTGAATCTGTTATTCTTCCTTAAGTTAATTTGAAGGTCAAGTCCGTTTTCTCAAATGATATCCTCAGGCTGGTGAGTAACAATCAAGAGAGTTCTAAACTACTTCTATTTTGTTTTGTTGCTGAAAATATATGAAGTTATGATTTGTAAACAGAAATCAGGGCTGCCAATTTTATACATTTTTAGCAACACCCTAATTTTTGTAGTCTCTTGGTTGGTTCTCGACATGCAGTATTTGATACCTGAAATAAGTAAAGCAGAAAATATTCTAGTGAAAAATGCCTTATACCATTTTAGTGATTTGAACTTGGAGTACCCTTATCAAGGTCAAATAACATGATATTAGCTTCATTAGAAAATGTTCAAAAAAGACAAGATAAATCTGCTTCACCAAATTCTTTTCTATTTGCTGGTAAGGTGGAGTTTGCCTTTGATCTGTGACAAGTAAGTTGTTCCAGTACAGACCATTTTGGCTCTAGAAATAAAGAAATAATATGAGTGAAAAGTTAGCTACTGGATGCAAAACTACAAATAACATTTAAGTGATGAAGGAATGAATGAATGAATGAATCTTGAAATTAGAGGCATTCCGGTCACCATAAGGAGCCAGTGCATAGGCCGCTTAAGCGGGCCCTTATGCTCCTCTACATTCCTTAGATCATGCCCTTTTAGCGAACTTGAGAATCGTCTTGAGTCCAAGCTCCTTGACGTCCTGAAGGTCCAAAGTAATGGACCCCAGTATAGTCTGCCTGTAGTAGCTTAGAGCTTCACTGCGACACAAAACGTGCGCCGAGATCTCTTCCTCTACCCCGCAGCGTTCACACAAGGGATCCTCAACCACCCCCATCACGTGCAGGTGGCGCCTTAACGTGTTATGGCCAGACAACAGTCCCACCGGCAACCTTAGGTTGGCTATATCTAGAGATAGGCAGAAACGTCCATCCTTAGCACTGGGCCGTTCAATGAGTTCCCGTGCCTGGCGGAGATGTCGGGAGATACTTCTCCATTTCTGAGAGTGTTGTCTTGCAACCCAAGTCTCCATTGTCCTCCTAGCTCTATGCGCGGTCACTCCTAGAGCTGGCTCAGGACCAACGAGCTTGCTGGCTGATCATGACTTCGCCAGAGTGTCAGCCGTCTCATTGCTGCTTATCCCAGCGTGCCCCGGTACCCACATTAACGAAATCGGATGTCTCGCTGCGAGGCAATCCAGAACCTCCCTGCATTGCAAATTGCAATACAAGACTCAAAGTACGGTAATCTTACAGGCACTTAGTGCTATCATTGCAGCCTGGCCGTCGGATAAGATTGTTATTCTTCTCCTAGGACTACCCTACTCCAGAATGTGAGATACACAAGCCAGAATCGCAAAGATTTCCGCCTGGAAAATTTAAGTGGTACATGACCTTCAAATTCTGTTAAAGTCACATTCAACGTTCACATATCAGGCAGGGAAGATCAGGGCGAGCTGGTTGCATTTTTTGTACTACTTTTCAGTTACTATACTGTTCTGTACTTCTACTTTGACCTACAGGTTATTCAGAGACTTAAAATATTCAAGATGGCTAAGTCTATATCTAAATGTAAATAATAAAGATGAGCTTCAAATACCTTATAGATCAAAACCTTTGCTGAACTCAAAGTGATTATCAAAAATAGCAAGGGCAAAAACCTGTATAAAGCGCTTTGACATTCTCTATGACTCATAGTTTTCTCAATATCCTGCCGAATCTTGAATTGGCAATTGAATAACAATGGAGATAGCAACACACATTTTTCCACAAAAAAAGCACTAACTAAAATTTATCTTTCATTATCTAATAGCATAATAGTAATTCATTTTTAGGCAATCCCAAAATATTGTAAATTTTCTCAACTTACCTACATACTAAATTGCACCCCTGAGCAGTTACAGACCGTAAAAGTGAGGTTTAAATTCGAAAAAATTAACGTTACAGTTATTCTTGAACTTACAAGATGTGTACCAAAGAGTATTAATCGACAGTCATTGAAGGTATCGAGTGTTACATATTATTAAAGAGTGTAGTTTTAATACCAATTTAAAAAAGAAACCAACGGATGGCGCGCCCTTTAGATTTCGCACCACCAAAATGGTCGATCCATCTAGTAGCTGGAATACCAGGTATTCACAATGGCTTTGAAATGGACAGGTTTGTTTTCCGTTCACCTGTCTCCAGGACTACTAGACCTGTACAGCACTGATGAATTGCTAATGAGCACGAAACTGCGCTGTCTGCGATTAGTTGTGGTTTCAGAGAAAAAGTTTTAGACCGAAATTCTACATAAATTAAAGTAATCATTTTTTCAAGTCCGCCAACATGTTAAAAAATTGAGCCACATTTTCATGGTACATCATCCCTTCTTCACTCTTTAAAATGCTTCAAGTGAACTTTAATAACTGTCGACTAAGACTCTTTAATGCACTCAAAACATGCACCAAATTTGTTTTTTCCTGAGCTCAATAATCACCGAGATGCTAAAGTTTTTTAAATTGGAAACCCCACTTTTACAGCCTATAACATCTAATTCTACTCTATGTTGATTCTTAAGCAAAAACCCTGTATTTTGCCGTTATATACACGGTCATAATAAAGTACCTGACCAAACAACAAGAGGCGATTCTTTCAGTGAAAAGATGGTAAGTTTATACAACATATAAACATACGTCCAATAATGCTACATTTGCAAAACTCAGAGCGTCAAACTTTTTGTGGAAAACCGGTTTGTTAATTCTCCAACTAGTTTTGTTGATATTGGTTGAGATATACATTTTTAATCGCCCCACCTCAACATTTTGATAACGCGTCATCCTAGAAACAAAAAGTTTCAAACAAAAGTTTTGGGTTTCGAGGAGGCAAAATGATGATGACCCTGACCAGCTCATTCGTTAACACTCTATACACTGAATACCAAATTTGTCTGATGGCTTGAGTTCAATGTGTACGAGAGAGAAGTGTGTATAGACACATATGTTAGAAAGAGATAGAAGCCGGCTGGATAGCAACTCTGACGCGGCGGCCCGCCGCGTTGCCAATTTCCTTGAAAATGTGCGTTAGCTTACTTTTCACGCCCAAATAATGGTTTTATATTAAGCGTACACATTTTTGAATTGCGATTGTGTCGAATCTGTTTAGGATCGATTCCGGATCGGTCCTAATGGCGCTTCATTTTAGGTCAAAATGAAAGATCAGGATCGCCACAAATTCTGCAACATTGTGTCATTGGTTCGGCGACACCGCATGTCGTACATTCCAAGGCAAGGTTTCCACCTGCATGATCATAGATGAGGGATTTTGGTCAGTACCAATCTAGCGCTCATTGGAGAGTGTCGTCCTGGCTTCGAAATGGTTTTCACCTGCTTACACACAGGCAGTGATAATTATTAGTATTGCGTAATGAGATCTGTTACATTTTTTGACCGCACGCTGTCGCAAAATGTAACAATAACTCAGCATGTATTGATTTCATCACCATCGATGGAAATCAAAGATAATTCTAAATTAATTAAAAAACATCAAAATTGAAATAAATAATGCTAATCAAAATGAAAACAAAATATTAAATGTTTGAACAGAACTCCTACTTGCGTTTGACAGTATATATTATATTGGCAACGCGGCAGATTGCATGACCTTCTGCGCCACCGTTGCTAGACTAGACAGTGTGGTGATGACCTTCGCGACTTCTGCCGGCTTCTATATCTTTCTACATGTCTGTTGATTCACTCTTCTCGCGCTTCTCTCTCGTACACATTGAAGTCAAGCATAAGACAAATTTGGTTTTCCCTGTATGTATACTCATTCATTACATATGTGAATCGTCATACCTTTGCTTCATATTTTTGGATGCTAGTATAATACTACCTAAATAGACACCATTGTTAATGCTGTTAAAAATAGAACATGTATCTATCCGCATCTAATCAAGATGATTAGTTCAAGTGCTAAAAATTTGAAGGCATTTAAAAAATACAGCCAGTTCTACTAGTGATGAGTAGTATCTTTAAAAAGAGAGTGCAACGGTGATCGGTTTTGTGTGAAGCATGTTCTACCAGCAAGGTTAACTACGAGTGGTGAGGTAATTTTTTTTTGTTTTCTTCCACCCGCAGATCGGAAACATGACGTCAGCTAAAGGACATCTTCCTGTGTCCAGGATAAATACGATCATGAAAAGCTCTTGTGATGTGGACACGGTGGGGAAGGATTCCAGTATAATGATGTGTAAAGCTACAGAGATTTTTATAAAGACTTTGGCCCAGGAAGCGTTCAGACAGTCACATGCAAATAATAAGAAAAGGTTAGATTATAAGCACCTGACAGATGTGGTGCACTCTGATACTAAGTATAACTTTTTGAAAGATATTTTGCCAAAAAAGATAACGTATGCAAAGTATAAAGAGATAATGGCGAAGAAGAATAAACAGATGGCAGCGGAGCAAAATGACGATGGTAGGTCGTCACCATCTTCTTCATCTAGTTGTAGTTCGTCGTCGGAGGAAGATTCAAGTTCTGAATCAAATGATGCGGGCAGCCACAGTGCTTGATATAGCTCGTTGTATACCGGTATTCCCCTACTTTGATTTTTTTTATATAGCACAGTTTTGGCATGTTCAGTAATTTTTGTGTTGTGTTTTTTCTACATTCACTGTTGTAATATGTTATTATGTATTTTCTTATTAAGTGATTTAATAAAAGTCTCATTAAATTGTAGGTTGATATGATTTTCCCGAAAAAAAGAAGCTTCTTCTCTCAAGTCAAAGATATTTGTAAATGTTCTATGAAATGAATATGTCACAAATCGAAAAAAATGACCCTTTTAACTATTTGCCACAGAAATGGGATTGACGCATTTGACGCTAGACGTTGGCACATATTTTTACTTGCTTTTCTCAAATCTAAGTTTTGCAAAACTGCTTGATGCCAGGTAGAAAAACATTTGGTGTGCGCTTTATGTGTGAATCGATTTTTCGCTTTTGATCCGATGCCTTGGCACCCTGCGACCATAGAGTCGGGTCGGTGTAAATAGGCGTAGTTTGCTAGCTTGTATCTTCACTGCTGCATCGAGGTCACGAAGCACCCCCTGTGTCGCCATCCGTAGTCCGGAACCTTTAGGTGCTCTTCAGATACATTTCTCAATAATATAAGTGGAAAATCAAAGTGCAGTAAACGTGGTCGTAATATCGCGAAATGGGCTTCGGCCAACGAAATCGAATAAATTAGAATAATAGAAATTAGAATACAAGTATATGTTTACATTGCGCTGTTTTGTCGTCAAAGTTATATTAAATTCGCGTACACTGGGCGAGGAAGTATTGTAATCGCGAAAAGTGTTGAAAATGAGTACATATTGTGTTTTTTGGATGTTATATGACATCACGAAAAACCATGTCACTCATTTCCGCCGGTCTGTTTATCTGTCTGCCTGCCTGCTAATCGTGACCTCTGATTTTGGTGAAATTTTCACACAAGGCTGCTATTATGACAAGGACAGAAAAGCTTGGTAGTTTTTGAAAATCGATCCAGTGGCGGCAAAGACATAAGCCAAAAATTAAACTTCGTTGCTTGAGGTTTCAGAGGGTATTTTAAGCACCTATTAGCCATAGTTCACACTTCATAGATTTTTCCGTACGTTTGCTCTTGCAACTGAGTAAGGGACAACGTTGCCAAATGGACAGTTAAGTACCGGTAGGGTAGGGAAGAATATCAATGGACTAATTGTATGGGTCTGTCCGGCTGACTTAATCCATTTTTTGTTTTACATATTCGTAACTGACTTTGTTCTCAGAAGATTTAAATTGCGGGTCTTAATCATGTATGAACTAATGGTGTGCTCACGTACATCAGTGCAGATGTGTTGCGATGTGAATCACTCAGTTATTGTTAATAAGCAGGGATAAATTAAAAAAAGTAAAGAAACGAAAGTAAATATTTATCAGCGGCACAGCATATGAACAATTCTGCTTAATTCATGATTTTGGAATGTGAAAAATTCTCTTCGTCAAACAGCCTCAATGACGGAAAAACTGATATTGAAAATAGCGGGTCTCCTTGCTTGAATTCTACCCTTTTCTAAGTAGTTGTTGTGTTCCAAACATTTTTTGGACAAAAGCAAATATATATATATATATATATATATATATATATATCCTTTAATTTCTTTGGGTAGAAGGCAAAGTATTGAAAAAGTACACTCTTATAACGTAAACTCTCAAGCTTTCAAAGATCTATGTCTTCATCGTCTGGAGTAAGTCGGCGAGATTGTTGCTGAAATTGTTTTTAAAACAACAGTGAAGTCGACGAATTAAAAAACTGGACTGATGCGATTCGATTAGGATGGAATTATTTTATTATTAAATGGCAAATCATTTTGAAAGGTTTTTTTTTTTAAAAATAAGCGTTGATTGATTTTGGAAGAAATTTGGAGCTTTTAAAACTATCAACTATTGAGAATTCCCCCGAGATTTCATCTTTTTTTAACCTCCACTTTATCCAACACGTGCCGGCCGAATAAATTAAAGGATATCTTCTCCTGACAGTTAAAGCAATTAACTGTGAATAATATATATATATATATATATATATATATATATATATATATACAATCACAACATCCATAGCCAAGAGAAAAATTTCTCTTGGGACGGGACTCGAACCCGCACAGCGCACGGCGACTGATCAGGAGACCGAAGAGTCTACTACTGCGGCCACCGCTGCTGCGTACTGAGGTTCTTCACTGCATTAAAATGAAACTTCAAATTATTATTTATAACTCGGAAGTAAAGAGCTTTCCTAAGTGCTGGTATATCCATGCGTAGCTAACCCCAGTTGGTAGTCGATAAACACTTGACGTTATTCAAGCGTTTATCGACCTCAAGCTCGTGGTCACAGTTAGCTCATATCTGAAAGTGATGTTTAACCTGCTTATGGCTCAGACAAAATTGTCAAACAGATATTGACAGGTTTGTGGTTTTATACTTTTTCATCGTGTTTGTTCATTTTGCTGCGTATCATGGAGGTTTTTGCTAATTTGAGTAACGATGATAAAGAAATCTGTACTTCCTACAGCATTGAAGGACAACCTTATACGATGCGACAGGGTGAAAATTATATTGACTCTTTTTATGATCATAGGGACTTCATAATTTTTCATCATCATCACTCAGATTATCGAAAACCTCCATATCACAGAATGTCATTGTTTCTTTGACAGCTCTGACTAAGGGTTAAGTGGGTTCCTTATTACTTTTAGCTATGAGCTAACTTTGAAAACGAGTTTGAGATCGTCATCTTTGAGACTCTACAATCAGTGATGTTTGTGCCCATTGACATTTGTCCAGGGTGATGAAAGGAATATTTTACATTGGTATTGGAGAAAAATCGCGGAAACCCATTCCCCATAAGGAATGTGCATCGTCCTTTTGACGTCGCGTATGTTATAAAATTTATACTATGATCCCCATGACCTGGTTCCCTTTTATGTAACTGCAACTTGGTTTTTTGTAGTTTCTTTAAGTAGGTACTATAACATATGAGGGGTATTTGGAATAAAGATTACAATTTTCACGACGATAAGCGAATCTTGTAAGTGGTTGATTACAAAGGGTGGGCCATCCGTTGTTTTCTTTTTTAAATTGGTATCAAAACTACACTCTTCAATAATATGTAACACTCGATACTTTATTCAAAAGAATACATCTTCCGATTATTTATGAAAAACAGCTTCAGTTAATTGGCTGCAGCGGCTGGGCTGGCAGTACTCCATCCTCAAAACCCAATTTTGAAGCACGTTTTCGATAGTTTGTGGGTCTATTTCATCAATAGCTCGACAGATATTTTCCACAAGAACATCAATTGTTTGAGGATCGTTAGTGTAACAGCAACGTGCCTCTATAGCGTTCCCCGTTTACCTTCACGCTGTTACCACCTTCGTCTTGAAAAAAGTAGGGACCTATAATCCTACCACTCCAAAAGCCACACCAAACAGTTACTCTTTTTGGATGCATTGGTTTTTCTATGACGACGTGGATTTTCAGATCCCCAAATGATACAGTTCTGCTTGTTAACGTAACCTCCCAGATGGAAATGTGCTTCGTCCGAAAAGATGATTTGGTGACCACAATTGACGTTCGTTTCCAATTGATTTAGATCCCACACAGAGAAACGATATCGAAGCGAATGGTCTTTTTGTTTCAACTCTTGCACAAGTTGCACCTTGTAACGAAATAATCCCAGGTCGTTATGCAATATTCTCCGCACAGAAGTGCGAAAGCCCACTTGCTGTGCTCTGTGACTAGTGCACATTATTGCGTTTTCACGGACACTGTGGGCAACAGCAGCAATGTTTTTGGCTGTACGTACGGGTCGAATACGCTCATACCTTCTGTTATCCACACGCAGGCAAGTTTCACGAACCTTCTTAACTAATTTTCGTATACCAGTTGCGAACGGAGCTTCATTCCGACCAAATAGTCTTCTCAATTTTCGCAAAGTTTCTGCAACACTTTGAAAATAGTTTTTCAATATTTCCCACCTTTGTTCAAGATTAAAACGATTCATTGCTCACAGCGAAAGTTTGACGCAATATATCTGGCAATTTGTTGAGCATGCAAGTGTTACCAACTGTCAAAATAATACCAACTTAAAAACAACTGATGGCACACCCTTTACGTATGAAGGTGAAATATTACGGCAGTGGAATGGAATGTCTTAATAATATCTTATGTTTCCGGACCTAAACTAAGGAACATGCGAGATTATTGTGTCCTCGTCAGAGTTGCTACAGGTCTTTTTATCTTGAGCTCAGCTATAGGCGTGTAGAAAAGGGGATTATTGAGGCTTAACAGTAACAACGTTAGAACTGATATCTGGAGAACAGTGTGTTGACATTGTGGGATGGAGTGGGGAGTCCATCAGTTGCGATTTTAAAGCTCCAAAATCTTTCGCGCTGCTCCATTTGGAGCCGGTGTGGATAATTCTTTAGAAATAAATGAAAAGATTGAGTGACGTTACGTCAAACTATAAGTACCGACTATAAAATGTCGGCCTGAACAGAAAGAAGGTCAGTCGCCTATTTACCACTTTTTAGTGCGAGGCCACGGGGTGGAATTTTGAATAGGAGAGCAGCAAGTGACGGCGAATTGAAAGCTTACCTAATATCAAGCGCAATTACATGAGCCTCACCACCCCATTTGATTGTCGGTGTCAAAAACCATAGTGGCTATCGTTGATCAAGTGATGATGTTCGATCTATTTAGAACCTTTCAATAGAATTCTTTCATTTCTACATGATAAACTTTGGGTGACAGTGTCAATTTCCTTAGCGCGATTTTTATAATATTTTTGTGATCAGAGTGTCTCCTAGACATCTCATTCCTAACTTCTCAACTTTGATTAGCTACTCTATGATGTTACAATCACGTCTGTATTTGTAATTGAGAAATCGCTTCTAGAAATTCAGGATTAACGGCAAACATCTACATCCCCTGAACTAAAATCTGCAGAGGAGGAAGTCAACCACGTGGACCAAACAATAAATTTGAGAAACATAACTGGAACAGCGGGAACGCGGCCATAGTCCGAATCAATAAAGCTAACCTTGAATTTTTTATAGAAATCCCCCAAAAATTTGCGTCAGCTAATTTAATATAGACCATGCCATAATCTGGATTACAACTTAACAGAGCTTTTCTTGCGTATTAACTTACAT